ATCTTTGGTTCATTGACTACTAGTGAGCTAGCCTTTTAATTAAGTAGGAACTATAATAATATATTTATTAAGACAAAATGCTAATTACAAAAACCATTTTGTCCATATAATATAGACAAAATTGCATATAAGGTAAGGACATACAGAGCTACTTATTTTTAAGAAGGCAGTTCACAAATAAATCGTTTGATCTTTTTTGGGACATCGGCAGATGACGCATGAGCCTAAAGGGGACATTGTAACTGGGCTAACAGAAAAGAGGATTTTGCAATTATTGCAAGTCTCTCCCTTTTACTGGTAGATCTTTTCGTCTGTTTTTGGATGGAGTTTTTAGAGAGAGCTACAGTAGTAGAACCATCACCTTTGACAACTGGGCTTACAACAGAAAAGAGGTTTTTGCAAATATTGCAAGCCTCCTCCTTTTACTGGTAGATTTTTTGGTCTGTTTGTCGATGGAGTTTTTAGAAGGAGCTACAGTAGTAGAACCATCACCTTTGATAACTGGGCTAACAACAGTAATGAGGTTTTTGCAATTGTTGCAAGTCTCTTCTTCCTTTTACTGGTAGATATTTTGGTCTGTTTTTCGATGGAGTTTTTAGAAGGAGCTAAGTAGTAGAACCATCACCTTTGACAACTGGTCTAACAACAAAAAAGAGGTTTTTGCAATTGTTGCAAGTCTCTTTCTTTTACTGGTAGATTTTTTGGTCTGTTTTTTAATGGAGTTTTTAGAAAGAGCTATAGTAGTAGAACCAATCACCTTTGACAGGTTTCAATTTTTTTGGCCCTCGAATGAAATTCCCTGTAGTTTTTTTCGAAATAGTACTTTGTCATTTTGTCCACTGTCTACATATGTCGTTTTGTCCAAAAATGAACAAAAATGATCCATCAAACTCCTGATAATTACAATAAAATTGATCGAAATCACTAGGTACTGCCATAAGTTAATTGAATTTATTTGAAATAGTAGCAATTAACAATAAATAAGTCTTCCAAAAATATGACAAAACCAGCATTAAAATAAACTTTGGAAGGAGCAATCCACGTTTGATCCAGTTACTGCGACAAGACTGTGACAATGACGCTCAACATCTGACAGGATTCTGATTATGTCTTTTGTCACGTTATACAGTCTTGGTAAAATTAGGCTACTTTCATTTTGTTCATATACAGTAATACCCCGTTTAACGCCGTATCGTTTAGCGCTCTTTTTTTTTTCAAGACAGGTTTCGAAGGGATAAATGAGGAAGAGGTCGAAGAAATAATTCAAGAATATTTCTCCTACATAATAACAAAAGGTGCGTATTTCGATATTCTCTATTACGCCTAATGAATACCTCTAATCGGTACTTCTTACAGGTTTGCCTTATTTGCTAACAGTCAACTTACATCGCTGACGACGCTCAAATAGACTCCGGAAGCTTCTCCTTGGTGCTGATTCAGCACCGCCGTGCTAATCGAGAGCGCTTCCAACTTTTGCTGCTGAGGCTGCGGCTGCAACCGGGACGCAGCCGTCGGCTGGGATTGCTGCTGCTGCTGCTGCTGCTGTCTCTGAATCGCTGCTTTGGGAACCAACGGGATTGATTTCTTGCTTGCCTCCGTTGCGTGAGCTGTTAGGAGGTAATATAATTTAGTGACAATAGGTAACTTTACTTTGGTATAGCATTATTATATTATTTATTTATTTCTTGTAGTTTGTATGTTTCAATTTTATGTTGCTAGATGTTTCAAGTCGTTAGGAATCGTTTGACTTCAAATTCGGTTTAAAAGACGAAAATCCACGAAAATATTCACTGATGATATTCATACAAAATTAAGATAGATAGTTGCTTTAACTATTTCTGTACCAAATCAAGTAAAATTGATATCACAACTGTTGTTCATTATTTCACAATTAAAGATTTTCTAGAAAAAAATGCGGCGTTTCAACTTTCTCCATGTTTGGGACTATTTGTTACAACTACCGGGGCAGGTAATAATGACAGTAATACCACTGATAATTTATTCTTTATTTATTTTTAAGAAAATTGACTTGTTTCTAAGTCTTTTCATAAATCAAGATAAATGTAAGACAAATTTTCATCATATATCAATTACAATTAATATCATAATAATAGATATAGTGTATCCTGTAACACAATTTACATGTGCCCATATCTAACAAACTATACATTCCATCCAATCTTCTTCAATTGAATCTATATATAATTTTTGTATTTTACAACTAGCCCCAAGGTTTTGTTTCAACTAACCCCAGGTGTAATTTTTTTATATTAATCAAGACAACTATTTGCTCAATTTAGCAATCACAAAAATTGTTTCGTATTATCAACAACTGATTAATTTGAAACACAAATTTTTATGATAGTACAATTATATATTACGTGTTGAAAATGACGCTCCTGCACAGTTCTGTATACTACGTCGACCTGCGGAATAGTAGCTATAACAACATTATAAAGAATCTTTTATACATGTCCAACCGAGACAAAAAAATGATTTTAATATCGTTAAAGATCATATTAAAAAATGCCTTTTACTAGTTATCTAATATACTAACTATATACTACTATATACTATATACTAATTTTTATTTTGACATTAAAAATATTCTGATCGAGTGACTCAGAATATTCGATCGAGTTCACTTTAAATAAATGAAAAATCATATCCACAACCATTTAAAAAACAAAACGCACTATACCAAGTTTACAATCCGAACAAATCAATATTTCGCGTTAACAAAACTTTGTAATAATCTACATGCTAAATTTTAACGTACAGATTTTTCCAAAATGACATCGTATTAGCTTTATAACATTTCCAAAACATATTTTCAAAAAAATACAAAAATGGCGGTTTTTGTTTCGGAATAACAGGATTTTTTGACCTTTATGTCGTGAACGTAACGATTTTTTTGTAATAAGATTTTTTGTAAATGAGTTTTTCTAACTAATTTTTTGTACGTGTAAAGTGTTTTTATATACTTTTTTTGTGGGATTAAAAACGGATATGCGACTGAATCTATGTAAAAAGTGAGTAAATATTTTTTATAAATTCTTTGATACTTTTAGTTGAGATGACATGATGATAATTTTTCAAAACTCATTTCGAATTGTAAATGATATTTACTGATTTAGCATGATTTAATGATTTTTAAAAAAATATATGAAAATTTATAAATTCATAATTTTGACGTTTGAATTTGAGTTTTGAAATAAGTATTAAAGCGACTTAATGAAATCAATTATACAATTTTTAAACAAATATATAAAATTTATTAACTTCTCGAATGAGAAGTTTATATTTTCGCAAAAAAATCCGATTTGCTGTTAATATGTTTTCTCGAATGGAACCAAATTTGGAAGATGCATGGGTGTGTATGTGAGCCGATTTTTGGCCTTTCGTCAACGTTTATTCAAAAACGGCTGGACCGATTTCAAAAATTTTAAAGCTTGATGTATCTCGACAAGGACTATCGTTGGTTTTGTACGACGATAGGCCAAGCCGTTTCTTTATAATTAGCAGAAAAGTGTAAAAATTTTTGTCCACATATTAAGCCACAATTTTGAATGTTGGACTGTTACTCTGTCTGTTTGTTAATTAGCTCATCATTAAAGATGTAGTACATTAAAGTTTAGACATAGGACATGACTGTATCGAGATACAGTCAAGCCCTCACATCTGTAATCCTTAGGTTAAGGAGTTGGAGTAACCATTTGTAATGGGGAGCGCTGCAAAATATAATAAGTCGCAATCATTGCAATACCCTAGAAAGGAGCTTCTACCCTTCCTACTCGTCACAATATGGTCGCTGGGGATCAGATCTAGAGAATGTAGTGAGTGGGAAAGCAATTCGGAGCACAATTCATATTTTTTTGCCACTATTTTTACGGATTTGTGACTTGGTGCGTTGTCCTCAAGAAGCAGCACTGTTTTCTTTTTTAAATGGGGCCGTTTTTCCCGATTTTGATCTTGAAATGTTCCAATAACGTTGTACAATAGTCACTGTTGATGGTCCGGCCTTTCTCAAGATAGTTGATGAAAATGATTACTTGCGAATCTCAAAAAACTGACGCCATAACCTTGCCAGCTGTTTGTTTGCATTTTTCTTGTCGTCGTGTCTAGTCTACTCAGCTGACTGTCTATTCGACTCCTGAGCATAGTGGTTAAGCCAGGTGATAACCATGATGACATACTGATGCCAAAAATTAATTTTATTTTGATTAAACAGCTCCAAATACTCTTACAAACCATCAACTCGTTATGCTTTTGGTCTAATGTGAGTTGGCGCGGCACCTCTTTAGCACAGAGGTTATTCCTATTCGAATATTCATGAACGATATGTCCAACACGTTCTGTCGAAATCTTTAGGGTGTCAGCTATCTCAGAGAATTTACTTTTTGGTTTTCCAAAACGCTTCAGTGGCCTTTTTTATATTTCCCACCACAATTGGCCTTCCAGAGCGTTCAGCATCGTCAGTGGCCATGATTAATATCAGCAAACCACTTCTCCGCCATTTGTCTCGATTTGGCACAGTCCAGATAACGCTCATCAAGCGATACTTTGGCAGCAATGGTATTTTTACCCATCAAAAAGCAATAATAAATCAACTCACGAAATTGCTTTGGATTCATGATTTATAGGATTGAAGTAGCGTCACTTGAACCTCTGTAACTTGTGAACTAATCGTCGGATTGTCATGAAATTTTGACATATATAATATCTTCTTGCTTCCGACACATCATTTGGATGATTACGTACCTACATCGTCTATGGGTAATCCTACGGGCTTATTGAGTGACGTAATATCATTTAAAAATCGTTTTTAATGAAAGCGACGTTTTTATTTTCCAAACGTACAGTTGAACATTTTATCTAAATAGCTAATTCCAACTGATGTTAATAAAGTCGATTGTTTATATGTATTGCAAAGTTTTTGCAACTTGCCTTAAGGTAAAATGTTACTTTACAACTAACCATGTTATTACTCTCAACAGAATATGAAGAGAAATGTACACTTAGGAAAGACAAGAAAATCAAAACCAGGAGGTACGTTTTTTTAATATGATACAAAAAACAGTTTTATTATTTAAAATATTTTATTAATTAATTTTTATTTTTGTACAGAAGGGTTATATCCTGCACCAGCATCAAAACCTTCTTTAACACCTTATAGTAACAACAGCGACAGTATGTTTTATGAACCTTACGCAGAATCTGTCTCCGACTCGGGCAGGGTTAGTATAATAAATTAAGTAATTAATTAATTAATTAACGAATGATTAAATTATTCATTTATTATTAAACTATTAATAATAAATTAATAATTTAATGAGTTTATTTCATTAATTCATTTACTATAAGGGCACGATGCCATGCGCCCCAATAGATATTTTTTTCTCAATTATGAACAATTATGTACTCTGTAATAATTTTTTAATTTATTAAAAAAATTTAATTTTTTTTTTCTTAAATTTTGAAACTTGTTATAAATTAGTAGTTCTTATTTTTTTTAATTATAAACAATTTTGTTTTAATTATTATTTAAATTATGAGCAATATTAAATTAATTATTTAATTAACAACTTTGCAGTTTTTGAAACAACTTTTTTGAAAGTTTTTGAAACTTTAAGTTAATTTATTAATAGTTTTAGCTAATAGTTTTATACTTATAAATAAATAATAAACTTATTTTATTCTTACAATCAGTAAATAATATTTATTTTTGCAGTTGTCTCACCACCAATACAAGAACGAATCCTATGAACCGATTGATATGTACAGAAGGTAATATAATTCTTTATTTAGTAGCACTAATTTATATATACATTTTCGAATTTCTTTGGTCCCAATGCTTCCAAATGAATAAAAAATGGTTCTCTAATAGTATTAGCTTTTAATATAAACATTTACATAGAGCGCACGCCAATTGAAAGTTTTTTATATTTGTTATTAACATACATCATTAAGTAAATTCTTGCGCCATCTGTCGTGAACTCAAGTATTATGACACATAAGAATATTTATAAACCACTTAACCTCTAATTTAATCCTATTCATCATGGAATCAAGATTAATTTGCAGCAAAATTTTTATTTAATTGGTGATGTTCAAAATCAAATTATTATCTTGATTCCATGAATGAATATTATAAAACAAGCCACATGCACAAATATTCAAAATATTTTTTGGTACGGAAAGTTCCAACAATTTGCCTTAAGGCACGATGCCATGCACCCCACTAGTCGATTTTTTTGCCCTACGGGAAGTTAATTATTTGATTACTAATATGACTACTACAAAATAGAGGTTTGTGGTAGGAGTGGAGAATTTAGGGCTTTATGTTTTTCTTTTTCAATTTATAAAACAAAAAATTGAAAAAATGGTCAAAAAAGTTTAAAAAAAATATTAAGGGTAGACAACCTTGACCACTTATAAAAGATAGATGTTAGTCGATTCTCAGACCTACTGAATACGCATATAAAATTTGGTACAAATCGGTAAAGCCGTTTCGGATAAGTACGGTAACTAACATTGTGACATGTAAATTTTATATATTAGAAAGAAAGATATATGTGTGTGCATAATATTTTAATGTACAGTATTTTTTTCAGACCCCGCAAACACAACCATACATTACAGGAACAACAGCTGATGTATCATAATGCACCATATCATAATCACAATCATCCGTGTTCAAACCTGCCACCTCATATCATTCCCTTACAGGTATATTTATTAAATTTAGTTGATTTGGTTGACAGGACCTAAATTTAAATATTATCCTTATAATCATTACAATTTTTTTAATATTTTTTTTTATTTCAGTCTACTCCTGCGACTGAATCTCTCGCCAGCGAGTCTACGGATGGCAGTCGAATTTTCATCATCAGGAAGGCCGCGGGGCCTCAGGCTCATAACGTGGAATATAGTAACGAGGCTGCAGTATATGGGGATCATCAGCATCCCCAATATCAGCATTACGACAGACCTCGTAAAATCGTACCTACCTCTCTTTCGGTAAATGAAATGTTATGAAGAAGTTACGAAAATGTGGAGAAATATTATGAACATTAAAAAAATAAGCCAACTCAATAAGGTGTCTTAGGATTCAACGTCAAACCAAAACGGGGTGATAGTATTGATCATAACCACCATGAAAAAATAGAAAAAATTTCTTCAATCTTCAGTAGATTAAAATTTTGGAGCTTTTAAGTGCAACTCAGATCTTTGGTCAAATTGTGACCAATTTTTTGGTTATTATGGTTTACTTTCATAGTATTGATCGTAACCATCATCAGAAAAATAGAAGAAAATTATCTTCCGTAGATTGAAAATTAGGAGTTTTTGAGTGTAATCCAGATCTTTGGTCAAATTGTGAGCATTTTTTTTGTTTACTATGGTTCACTATGGTGGTGGTGTATTGAGATCCATTACCGTGGACCTCTATTTTCATTTCGTAGACCCCGTATTTTCTATTTGATGTCGTCCACTTTGAAAATCACTGATTTACATGTATCTGGAAGTTTATGCAAAATGCCTCTTCCAACTTATTTTATTTGTAGCAGGTTGGTGGCAAAACTCGTCCACATGTGACCGTGCTGACCCCACGGTATATACCGAAGTTCCGGGACAGAAAACCGCCGTTCATCAGCATGCCGCTGGCAACCAGACCCGAACCTAAACACAGCCGACATTATTTTTACAAGACTGTTCCCAAAGAGGTATGAATTGAAAAAGATTATACAGAGAAGTACCATTCGTAATTGAAAAGCATCAAATTGCTGTTTCAAAGAATTTTCAATCGATATCAAATTTGGTTTAAGGCGGTATTCTGGTATAGAATTCAAAAAAAAAGATTTTCTTTTTTTGATGTTTCCATAGTTTAACAATTCAAGAATATGTGTACAAGAAGATTTTTAATATTTAATTTCTTTTTGAAGATACATTTGTTTAGGCACGATATTCCTCTTCTGTTTCCTTCTCCTTCTATAAAAGTTTATCGAAACTGTTTTTTTCTATACGATACCCACAATTTCTAAACTTATACTAATCCGATTTACTTGAATTTTTTATAGAGTCTTTTTATAAACTCTTCTTTAGTATGAACTACGTTCCTCCTCAAATTCCAAATTTAACTATTTTTTAAAAATTCGAGGATATCAAAAAAAATATTATTTAGGCAGATGCTATTTTTCTTAACTTGCTCGTAGTTTATAGGATTTTGACATTATTCTAGATTAATATTGTATAAATGTCATAGACCTAATAATAGTATTTTGTATTATAAGGTCTGTGATTGATACATATTGTAATCAGATTACTTGAATTGAAGGGATAAAATAGTGGGTATGGTGAAGTGCAAATTTTTTGAAAGCGCCCACTTTATCATCATCTAGAATTAAACCTTTTAGATTCAGAAATCTTCAGAGTTAGATTCAACAGATGTTTTTCAGTAGGTAACGGCTTCTTCTTCTTTAAATTTGCTAATCTGCGAGGTGTGAACGATAAGAAAATGTAAATAAAAAAGTAAAACAAGATAGTAAAGCAATTTTATAAAAGATAAATTAAATGATTATACCAACTATGTTGACAAATATTTCCGATAAATCATCTCATCTAAGTTGGATTCGGTGTGATCTTTGTAAAAAATGTGAAATTTGAGTTTCACGTTGGTTGAATAATGTAGTTATTCGTAATAATTTTAATTTAAAATTATTAAAACACTGAAACGGTTTGCCCCCACAGCTGTCCTATTTTGTCCCGCCTATAGGGCAAAAACGGACAGATGACAATTTTTCAGAAAAATAATAAACAAGTGGTGTGCGTTGTGATCTAGTTTATTTGACTTAGACAGTAATAATAATAATAAATGGCAGTCTGCCCAAAGGCAGGTCCATGATGTGAGTGCCACCACAAATAAATGATTCCCTTACTCTTCGTTTATCATTACGATTAGCACTATCCCCCCCCCCTTTTTCATGTATTTTTCTTTCCAAACTTCTGCTTCCATGCTTCTTGATCCTGTGCTTTGGCTTTCAGTTTCCTGTATTTTCTCTTTTCGCGTAAGTCGCCAATCCTCTGCATTTTTCTTCTTCCCATTCCTTTCATTCCTCCTATTTTACCCTTGACGACGTCGTGCCACTCTCTTTGCAGAGGGGGTCCAATTCAGTTTACTTTTCTTCTCAAGATTGTTATCAGTAGAGTCTTTTTCGCCCACTCTTCTCAGCACTTCTTCATTTGTTATTTTGTCTATACACTTTATCTTCTCCATTCGCCTCCAGCACCACATTTCAAAACTCTCGAGTTAGTTCTTGTCGGCCATTCTTAGAGTCCATGTCTCCTATCCGTACAGAGCTTTTAGACAGTATAATTAATAAAATTCAAATTGGCTCTTCGCGCACTGCTCTATCCTAACTTTAAAATAGCATAAATTATTTTAGAAAATATAGTCAAATTATCAAAAAATCTTTCTTTTCATTCACAGGGGTACGTTCAAAGACCAACAGGCTACACGCCGCGGGTATCGCGTATGAACGTCCTAGACAGTGACAAAGCTTCCCTCTGCCAGAATTTGGTGGCAAAACGCTCTGCAATGAATTTGAATCCTAGCATGATTCCAATTTCCAGGAACGCTCACTCGAAACAATCTATCATGTTAATGCAAGCTCTTCAACATCAACTACAACTCACCAATAATCAGAGCATTCACACACTCGGTTCACAAACCGACCAGAACACCCAAACCACATTTCCATACCCGGATGATGACGAAATCTTGGCGCAAATTCAGCAGCAGGAAGAGCAGCAAATGAATTGTGCAAGCCCAGTCAATTGCAAAAAGACTATGGTTTATGTGGATAATGATGAACTGAAGAGTGGTCTGAGTAGCAATAATGAAACAATTACTGAGATGGGCGATTTCGAGTTTGATATGGAACAGAGCTGTGATGACGCGTCAAGCCAAGGGCCAACTGCAATTCGTGTTGGCAGGTAATGGAAAATTAAATATGTTTACTGATTTTGCGCGTGTTAGTCGTAATATTAGAACAGAATTTTTATCAATATTTCTTATTATTGTTTTACAATAGATTCGCCGACTTGTTTCTTAAGTCTGAAACTGAAACTTCTATCAAGAACACTAAATCGCAGCATGGAAAAAGAAGCGCACCAGATGATGCTACATCTTGTACCTCTGTAAGGGTTTTTACAGTATTTACTAATATTTCATGTTTAGTTTTATAATAGTTTTTGTGCTAATTTTGGATCATGTTTTTGTAAGTTGCCCTATAAATCCGATTTTATAATTCTATCTTCTATATCTAAAGTTAATTTGATAGAATATATAGAAACAGAAAGGCAGCTAGGTTGTCTTTTTTGTTAAAACTTTATTTTATATTTTTACGAAAGCAGTTGAACCTATTACAAAAGCTGTAAACTATTTTGTTACACATTAGTTTGAAGTGGCTAATAGTTTGGTGTTGAGATTGATGAAGTCGTTTTTTGTATTTGTTTAACAATGAACCACTTCCCGAAAGAGAAGCTTATTGTTTAAGCGAAAAAATTCGATTTCATGATTTTATGTTTTCTCGACGTTTCAAGTCATTCTGAATCTAATGGGACCAAATTTGGAAAAAGCATTTGTGTGTGCATGCGGCGATTAAGACCCAAGAAACGACAGAAATTATAAGATTGTAATTATCATGCAAAGAAATTTCTAGATCGTAGATGTTGTCGTTTATTTGATATTTGACCCGAAAATTTGATTTTAGATTCGTGTTCAGCGCTAAAAAAAATACATTAGAAAACATATGCCGTACACCTAATCCAGACAACTTTTATTTCTGGACCTGTGTTATTATTTCGACTTCTGTTTCTTATTATTATCTTCATCCTAATATTGTATCGTTTATTTGCAGCAACGTAAATTAAAGAAAAAGCGTTCTCTGTTAATACAACCTCAAACAAGTAAGACGTCTAGTTCTAAACTTGATAGCAAAACTTCGAAAACCAAAAATGAACCTTTACCATCACCCAGCTTGGATTTGAGCACAGCTAAAACTGCAAACAATGAAAATGAGGTAATATCATGAAACAACATTTATTACTCACTTTATTATAGTTGGATTTATTAATAATAAAAAAATACTATACCGATAAAAAATTTCGATACCGGTATTTAGGTATTTTCCGTGAAATCCCAGTATCATCATTTTAGAAAATTTAACCAAAATTGAATTATGAATTGACTATGAAGTATTTTTAATAAAAATCGAATGATATGCAAGAAAGACCAAAGAGCCATTGAAGATGATATTACAATATTATAATAAATAGTTTTGCCTATATCCGATGTGATAAATCAGCATATCATTCAATATTTTAAAAAGTTTGAAATAGTAATTTTTAGATACTGATATAAAATCCGATACTTCATCAATAAAAATAATAACATATTATAATTTGGCGATGACGATAATCAAAAAAAAAATCACAAAAATAAGCAAATTGTCAACACAAACAGAAAAGTTTTTTGAATCATCCAAATCGGATGCTTCATTCACTCAAAAACTACCATTTTTTCACATTTAGCTCCGTAAACGGCTGGACCTGTCTTTGCCGAAAACTAACCACCACTTCCCTCCATTATTACGAATTGAATGTTTTTTGAATTATTCGAATCGGATTCGTTCTCTCAAAAACTCTATTTCTATTTTTTGCACTCTCTGCTCCGTACCTCCGATACGGCTGGACCTACCATCAGCACGTTTACTTATCAGTTGTTTGAATGTTAGAATGTTTTTTGAATATTTCAAACAGGTCAAAACACATACAACCACACACACATACAATCATTTTTTTTAAGGTAGGCCAAGTTCAGACACCTATAAAACGTGACGTTTTGTAAAAAAATTCATTTTCAAATTTTTAGTCGATTACTATAACTTACGTTACGTTAAGTTGGTCATTTTGAGAATTTATGCTATAGAATATATATAGATTTTGTTGACGCCTATGTCACTTTAAAATACTGTTACATTTTTGTATAGAGGAAATAAACATCATTAATTATTAGTCTGATTCTATTCTTCATGACACGATATGAAGTCCTTTGGGAAGCAATATATTCATTTTAATGATTGGCCAAGGTTGTGATTTGACACTTGTTTATACAATAGAACAACCTAAAGAGACATTTGTTTTAAGGGATTATGAGATTTATAGTTTAAATGGTTTCAAGAAACTTAAATGTAACATGTATCAACTAGTGTTTATGTTTCAATACCGAAAAATAGCGGTATTTTAAGGTAAATATCATTTGGAGCGAATTGCTGCTCTAATGTAAGAAAAATGCAACAATGTACATGAATGAAACACGCTCTAGCACGAAGGGCAATAAAACCAACATTTCAAATATTTTAGGTACATATAAAATACAGTGAGTTTTAAGAATTCACCAAGTACCCGCTTGACCAGCGAAAGCAGTCATCAAACTTATATTAACTAATCAATAAAGTTACGTTATAAAAATTAACCGCCTAACTTGCGAAACCAGTTACAAATAATTCCAATAATTATAAAATTAATTAAAACTCATTTTAACTAAGAAGAGTCAGACAGTGTGTTTTACTATAAAAACCAATTTACCTTTGTGCGAATAAGTCCTACCAGTATTGCGTTCCCTAATTAATAGTACATTTGTAATATTCTAGGTTGTTGGCCTGTACCGATCGGCGCTTCTTACGCCACTCAGTTTTAGATCATCTAAGATCCCACCGATAGAAGCGACATCTCATCTTATGCGTGGAAGGGCCGGCCAACTATTTCCTATATCTTATATGCCAGCAACCTTTGGATACAACGCGGCTTACTCTAATTCTTTGGCCAATTCCGTTGCTAATGGTGGTGATAGTCCTGGTTCGCCCGACCAACCGGCCAGGCCTGATGACGACGTCTGCAGCATTTCAGGAAAGACTACGCCGCGGGAAAGTGCCATTCTTGAGACCGTACTGAGTAGTATTGATGCATTGAATATCTCCGGAAGGGAAAGAACCATGCTCAATGATATAATTGCAGAGGTAATGACTATGGGTAGTTGGGATATGGATAATATAGTCTCTCATAAGCAGGCAGGTCTCTGCTCAATATGAATCATTGAATTGTCTGCCGGTTTAGAAATGTTCTAATTTTAGAATGAAATTCTCTTTAATATTGAATTCTAAATACACTAAATACTATATTACTAAAATAAACGACGAGTAACTAAATCAATTGAATCTAAACAAAAAATACCAGGTAACTCCTTCAATTCCATATGTAAACCGATTTTAAGGTCAGTAGCATTCAAATCGGTAAAAATACTCGGCCCGCTAATAAGCACCAGTCCTCGGAAACAATATTTTTACCGCGCTCGCTTATAGTGTGTTAATTAATTTAAATAACATTTAATTTTTATCAGGTAACTAGGCCTCCATCATGCCCGATCAACGGTCCCAGCTGCAAATGCCTTAAACCTAAAGAAAAGCCTGTAAGCCCAGAACCGACCAAGTTAGAAGCTACAGACAAGAAGCCTCTTATTAGCCAAAGTGCTGGTCAATTACCAACGACAAAAGGCTATCAGCATACTACCAGTTCAGGTTAGTTATTAAACACAAATGGAAAAATGTTTTACTAATATATTTAAAAATTTAGGCCTTGGTTTTGTTGATTCACGTACACGTTCCCCTAAAGAGGCAATGCAAGAAGCCCGACTCAAGATTCCAAGCGTCGCCAAACTCGAGCTGGAAAGATCAAAAAGCATAGTGATTGGTGAGATAAAGGAATTATATGTTTGAAATATTTATTTAAGAGGCTGCTTCCTGGTATTAGATTGATTGATATGTCATTTTATAAACTATTTTGAAAAAATCCAATATGTATACCAATTTGCAACTCCCCAGCTCATTATTTGGTCGAGATATAGTTTTTGTCTTGTAAGTTTTTTGTTGAGATATTTTGTCAAGTCTAGAAATATCTTAGCAAAGTACTTGATGAAAATAAAAAATCTGATATTTTAGATCTGAAATTAATGAAAAACCATATCTTTTGTTATGTTCTTCAGAAAACGTGGCAAAACATATCAGACTTACGTATGTATATCATTTTCACAAAATGCTACACATTTACATTTGACGATATCATATTTTTCTTCACTTCGATTTATCCACATTATATTTCTAAGGTATGCCAACCGAAGTGATGATAATTTTTTAACTTCCCGTAGGGTAAGTTATTGTAATGGGCCGAAAATCGAAATTGAAAATTTTTACATTTCTCTACGTTTTGAAGGTTTTTGAACATTTTGGCATACCTCAAAAAAATGGATGTGTGTGTGTATGTATGTATTAGTACAATTTTCCAGTCACGTTTTCGGGCGCACGGATCAACCGATTTGAATGGTTCAAAAAACATTCGATTCCTATTGTTAGGGAGATGTGCTGATTAGTTATTGGCAAAGGCAGATCCAGCCGATTAGGAGATACGGAGCAAAGAGGGCAGAAAATAGAAATCGAGTTTTTGAGAGATCGGAGCATCCGATTTGAATGATCCCAAAAACATTCAATTCGTAATGACGGGGAGAAGGGGTGATTAGTTTTTGGCAAAGGCAGGTCCAGCGGTTTCGGAGATACAGAGCTAAATGTGCAAAAAATGGCAGTTTTGAAAGAACTAAGCGTCCGATTTTCCAAAAAAAAATTTTTTGTATATCGAAAATAATTGAGATTTTTATTTTAATTCTGTTCTAATATACTTTAAACAAATAATTTCAACTTTCCAATTTAGATTATATAATTCCTATAAATATTCGACAATGTTACAATATTTATAATAATCTATTTTAAAACATTTAATATTCCTCGACCAATTCGTTACGGTACGGGAAGTTCCAGCAATTTGCCTTAAGGCACGATGCTATACACCTCTCTAGTTTTCACTTCCATTTAACCATATTATATTTCTAAGGTGTTCCAGCCTACACACTTCCATTTAAATATATTATACTTTCAAGGAATTCCAACCTAAGTGATCATCAATTTCTTCACTTCCATCTAACCATCGAATATTTTAAAAAAAGTCATGTCAACCATAGTGATCATGAAAATATAAAAAATATATTTGATTCCTTGCAATTTCAATCGTTTACCATACGTTTGCAACCTACATTTCTAGGTCTGATTGATCAAGAAATGAACAAAACTAAAAGCGGAACCGTCCAGATAGACGCCGCCGACGCAATAGCCTACGTCCAGCGTTCCACTGGATCAGCCAAGGAGATGGTAATCACGGAAGCTGTGACAGATACCCTGATCAAGTTACCTCAGGGTCAAACAACCAGCGAAAGTACAACCAGTAAGAACGAGCAATGTGCAATTTTCATTTGATATTCTTAGTAATTGAGAATTATTAAATTAATTAATTTTACTTGCTGCATTCTATTTCTCTTTTAGCTACAAGCTCCAGTGAATCACCGGCCTCGCTAGAACAACAGCGTGGAAAGTTGACCAAATTGGTTAAGTTGATGAGAAGAAATCGGCTTAGACACATCCAAAGCGAACTGAAGCAGCTGGAGGAGTTGGATGAGTCTATAGATTTGTAATCTTTATCCCTTATCTGGAGATCAGTATGTTGAACTTTATACTAATTTTACATTAAAATATTAATATTTATACATAGATAGAATTAATATTTTATGATTATTTACGGACTATGAATATTTTGATGGTTTTATTGAGCTGTTCTTGAGCATCAGACCCGTGTCTCTGTTTATGCCCTATGCTTCCCATAGGGTAAGTTATTGTAATCGTCCAAAAATCGAAATTTAAAATTTTTGCATTTCTCGACGTTTTGAAGGTTTCTGAACATTTTGGCATACCTCAGAAAAATGAATGTGTGTGTTTGTGTTTTGTGTGTCCACATTTTTTTGTTCACGTTTTCGGGCGCACGGATCAACCGATTTGAATGGTTCAAAAAACATTCGATTCCTATTAATAGGGAGATGTGCTCAATAGTTTTTGGCAAAGGCAAGTCCAGACGTTTCGAAGATACAGAGCAGAAAATAGAATTCGAGTTTTTGAGAGAACGGAGCATCCGGATTGAATGATAATTGAACTTTCTACTTGTATTAACAAAATAATTGATTTTGAAAAAAAAAATTTTGTTTCAAATTTTTTTTAACTTCCCGTAGGGTAAGTTATAGTAATCGCAAAAAAATCGAAAATGAAAATTTTTATCTATCTTTACGTTTCAGAGGTTTCTGGATATTTTGGCATACCTTAGAAAACATGGATGTATGTGTGTGTGTGTATTTGTGTGTGTTCGGATACAAATTTTCGTCGACGATTTCGGGAACACGGATGAAGCGATTTGAATAATTCAAAAAACATTCGATATTGATAAGGAGACGTGATGATTAGTTATTAGCGAAAGCAGGTCTAGCCGTTCCGAAGATAGGCAAAAAGTGCCAAAAACGGTAACTCAGTTTTTAAGCGAACGGAGCGTCCGATTTGAATAATTCAAAAAATATTTTACTTGTATTAACAAGATAAAGAACTGATCAAATTTTAATGAAAGCAGGTCTAGCGGTTTCGGAGATCTAGTAGAAAAAGTAAAAAAAAATGCCATCTGGCGGTCGAAAATAATCATTAGGCATATGCACATCAAATTATCAGATATTTTATAGAGATTTTAACAATAAGTATAAATTTTGTTTACATTCCAATGGGTTCCGTACCAATGTTTACGCGTTAGACGGCGGCTCGGCGCTTACGCGCTTCGTCTCTATGCAGTTAAAGCAGTACGATTGCTTTGAAGAAAAGTTCAGAATTTCCAAAACATTTCAAAATAAATTTTTCTTCAAAAAGTCTTTTTTTTTCAAAAGAAAGTAAATTTTTGTCAAAAATTTATAGTTTCTCAAAAATCTAATTTTTCAGAGTAATTTTTTTTTAAAAATGTTAATCTTTTTAAAAAAAAATAATTTTTTGGTACGGAAAGTTCCAGCAATTTGCCTTAAGGCACGATGCCATGCGCCCCACTAGTTTCAATTTTTTTTTTCAAAAAAAATAATTTTTTTTTCGAAATTTTTTTTTTTTGTATATCGAAAATAATTCAGATTTTATTTGTAATTCTGACTATAGTTCTAATATACTTCAAACAAATAATTTCAACTTTGCAATTCAGTTAATATAGTTCTTATAAAAATAGACTATGTTACAATATTTATAATAATCTATTTGAAAACATTCAATATTTCTCGAACATTTCGTTACGATGCCATACACCCCACTAGTTTTATACTTGTTTATCTATGACACACCCCACTAGTTTATCTCTGTGTCCACGATTTGATGACCTGTCAGGTGTCAGGTGTCAGCTGTCAGCTGTCAAAATGCCCGAGGTAAACACTGAGCACTTTCAGAGTGAACGTTCTACAGAATTTTATACGTTTATACGTTTATGACGTGTGGCTCGTGTTTTCTAATATGTGATACGTGTCGGCCTTTACAGTATTGAAATATCTTTATATCGAAATTTACAATTAATACTAACAAGTTCTGACAATTTTAACGAATGATGGGTGTACCGGTTATTATACAGAAGGATTATCCTTTATACAATCCTGAGATTTTGAAGAAATTGAATTTTTCGGAATCGCCTGCTAAATTTAACGGTTCTATCTCATCATTGAATCCTGGTGAACCCTGGTTATGTGTTCGTCCACTAAGGCCTTCTGACTATCATCGCGGTTTTCTTGAACTATTAGCTCAATTAACAGATACTGCTAAAGTTTCACAAGAGCGATTTAATGCCAGATTCGAGCAAATGTACCATAGTGGAGGATATTATGTTACTGTGATCGAAGACACAAGATCCAATCAAATAATTGGTTCAGCTACTTTAGTTGTAGAGCAGAAGTTCATCCATGGATGCTCTTGGAAAGGGAGATTAGAGGATGTTGTGGTTAATGACACTTACAGAGGAAAGCAACTAGGAAAATTAATAGTGGTGACCGTTTCTTTACTAGCAAAGGAACTGGGCTGCTATAAGATGTCTTTGGATTGCAAAGATAAGTTAATACCATTTTACGAATCTTTGGGTTATCGTTTAGAACCTGGAAATGCAAACGCTATGAACATTCGATATGATCAAGCTGCAAGCAAAAGTTCAGCTAATTCTTCCTGACAATTAGCAGACCGAGTTTCCAAAACACGAGCAAAACTATAACACGTTAGCTCTGGAAATTCTGGTCTACCACCTACTGAAAAATCTTGCCAAGAACTATATATTCAAGAGAAAAAGGCAGAGGCGAAATCAAATATATATTTATGTATTGTCATATTATTCTTAAGTTCTCTGCCCTGGTTGGGTACATAATTTGCTCATTGCAATTTAATTTTAAGACTTTAATATATTTAATTTAAAAATGTAATAAATCAAATATTAGTACATTTATAATCATATAGTTGTTAAAATTGGTTGGTGATGGTAAAATCAAATTTATTAAATTTTATAATTATCTATAAAATATTAGTTCATATGAAATATTTTTATTCTTATATTTATTACATATATTTATTATTACATAGCATAAGTTTACAATAACTCTTCCTTGGTTTATCAAATTCAAATTCAGTAAAACTCCATTAAGACGATTTTTCAAGGACCGAACCAAAAAAGCGTGTTATGCAGGATAGTAACAATGTGTTTCCAGGAATAAGAAATAGACCGCTAATTATTTGTAGCTTTAGCCTAAATACTTTGAAGTCATTTATAGGAACAAAACTATTTTGCTGCTATAAATTGGTTTTTATATTTCCGAATATATTTGCATAATAAATTATTTCATAGAGTTTTAAATATAGTAAACTGTTCAAAAATATTAACAATCCGACTTCTGCTATTTTACTATTAGTCCAGTCATTATAGTAAGTTCACCTCGGAACTCGAGATACCCAGTCTACATATGGTAGAATGTACATACCATATGTAGGTTTTGAGACAACTTTTAAGTCAATATACAAGTATTTACAGACATACAGCTGGGTATCTCGAATTCCGAGATTCTTACCTAATTTAAGCTTAAATGACTGGACTATATCTGAATTATTAGTTTAGAAAACAGGTTTGAATGTGAACCGTTTAACAATTTGAAACTAATTATTTAAATCATAAGTTATGTAATATTAAAACTATTTTTTTCATTTCAGAAACAAAAAAAATATATATTTTGGTTACGTGAAATCCGTTTTTTACAATATTGTTCAGTCTATAATGAAGACAAGATAATATTTTAAATATGGTGCTTAAACTGGTGTGCGAAGTTATTTTTGGAAGTGCTCTTTTGTGAGGATGTCTACAGCATGTTAGTTTATAATATTGTAAAAATTTTTTTTATAAAACTCTACACGAAATATAGTTGGATATATATGTGTTTAAGTTGTTAAATTATTGATCACATGAGTAATATATTGGCTCATACATCTAGAAAAACTATTTTAGGAAGGATGTCATATATATATATATATATATATATATATATATATATATATATATATATATATATATATATATATATACACCTAAGTCTGTTTTTACACAGTAGATTGGTTCCAGAAGAAGCCGTGTAAAAAAAAAACGTGTAAAAAAAGGCATTGATCTTATACATGTATACAATTTATATATAAATTAGGAGAATAAAATAATAATCATTCATCAACAAAATAGTAATGTTATAGTTAATTTTGGCGCGTGTTTTTAAAAAGGGGCGTGGCTTAGTGATCGTGGAAAGATTTACTAATAATTATCGTACAAAATTTCTTAATAATCATAAATAAATGTACGAAATAATAACTTTATTTATTAATTTCGTTGATATAAATTATAATAATAGTTATAATGAATTATTATAAAATTTTACTATTGTCGAAAATAAATTTTGTATATTTAGGTATTAATTACATATTTCCTTAAGATTTAAGAAAAATTAGATAATCTCAAAAAAAATTATATGAACACACGTAACGATTTATATATCGTTTTATTCGTGATTTTATTCTGAATCTTTCGTACCAACTTTTTTATTTTTTCAAAAATGGGTGATTTGTTCTTAATCTCTGAAACCTATTAAAATTAGTGAAAAACAAGAATTTTTAAGAACAAGAATTCATGTTTATTTGTTAAATCAAATATATAATGCTTATTTTCACAAGCATAGTAATTAATGATAAAAAAGATATGCACTCTCATCTTAAAAGTAATATAAATTAAATGTATGGTAAGTTCAGGAACTAAAAAACTATGTTGTGAACAAAAAGAATAGGTTATTCAATTTTTAAGGTAAAAAATAATTTTATTGTATGCACATAAAGGAAAAATTCCCCTAAATTAGTTCTATTCAGACTTTTTTCTTTCATAAATACTTTTTTGTGATATGAACATACTTCGCAGAAATTAAATTTGACAAAAAAAATATAAGTACATAAAATTTCAAATCGTGCTAAATGGAATAAATTCGTGTAAAAAAATTAAAAATATTCAATTTTCAAACTGTGTACAAAAAGACCGTGTAAAAACAGACTTAGGTGTATATGGTGTTCCGTGGTGTTAAGCGTGTGGAGGAGTCGTGAGTTCGAACCATACTACATGACCTCATACGCATTTACTGCTAGTCCTCATATGTTTTCCATTTTATAAAGTGTTAAAATATAGAAAGGGACTGTGAAGTTGCTCATATATACTTATTTTGTGCTCGACTAGCAGTTCATGTAGTGTAAGGTCTATGGTTCGAAAACTCATTTTCACCTGAAAATAGCCAATTTTTGGACACTAAGATGGTAGTGGTGGTAATGGAAAATCTCTCACACTATTCTTCCCTGAATCGAATGGGAGTTTAACTCAGCGCACAAACCTGCCCTAAGGCACTACTACTACAAATTATTTCATTATCGAGAAATAATTGCATTAATATATTCCAATACAAGAGATACATAGAAGTGCATAATGAATAAATATTTTGGGCAATTGTAATTTTTTTTTTTCATTTTTAATTTTGGCATATCTTTACCATGTGCAAATATAAATAAAAAAAACAACCTAGGGAATTATACTTTGTATCACCTTGTATCAACTCGAACAAGACATCTGGTATGATGTAAAATTTTGAGTTTTTGATTTTAAATTTTGGAAATAAGTATGCAACATGCAAGTGGATGACTTAAACATGGACATGAATGAAAATGGTATATGTTGCTAATAATAATATTACTAAATTACTTACGAATTTCAAACTTGTCCGGCACAAATGATACCCTATGTCTCGTTATGTCCGATGCGTTTGTAATACTTGAACTTGTTCTGTTTATCAGCACTTAAAAATAAATAATAAATAATTAGACACTTTTTAAAAATTACATGTATTGTTGTATATAAATTAGATCAGCAAAGTGTTTCTTTATCAAATCTAAAAATCAAAAACTTCAAAATTATGTCCTGAATCATATGGAGCAGTAATTTTTGTCATAACTGGACAACCAACCATAACTAGTAGTGTATGGCAATGCACCCTTTATGTAGAAATATTGTGTTTTGGGAATATCGAACTTTGAACTTTTTTTATTTTTAAATTTTAAAAAAGCAATAATTCATAATCTAGATAGTTTAACTTTTTTTGATACCACACTTCATATATCAAAAATGTAATAAGCTATACTTAAGGTTGGATTTTTTGGGATTTTGTTTGTTATTATTTTTTTTTTTGCTTTTTCCTAAAATTCAATATCTTACTTCCTGATTTTAAATCCACGCTGGACATTCCTGGTAACTTCGTATAAACTGTATTTCCTGCCGGTTTATATGTGTCATTAGATGCCTAAAAATGGAACCATATAATATTCATAATTAGTATAATTTTTATTCAACATCTTATATTATTTTATCGATATTGAGATATCGATTATATTGGAATATATTGGATTTGCGATTGCTGTTATTTAAAATATTTTCTTTTGTATTTTCAATAAATTATAATCTTTTTATAGGAAGATATCCAGTAATTGGTTACATAAACAATAATGTTTTTTTTAAGGAAATCCAATAGTTTGCTTTTTATTTGTGTACTACAAACCTAAATTTTCTTTTATTAGAACAAAACAAGTAATTCAAAGCACTTATTTTGAATTTAAACATTAGTAATCTTATTACACTTCAAAAAAACTATAATCGAACCAATAACTTTGTTTTTTAAAAAATATCACAAGCTTTTTGTACAAGACCGAATCTTAAAAATTTAGCATAGAATAATTGTAAAACCTTTTGCGTTATTAGGAATAATAGCAATATACATTTCTATTTTGATTATAATTGAATAATATTTATTATCAAATTGTAATTCACTTACTATGTTGCTTTTCTCGCGACTTGTTAGCAGTTTTTCGAGGTAATCTGATGTAATGGATAAACCTTTTGATTTTTCTGACATGAAAATTATAGAAAAATATAAATTATCAATTACATAAATAACGCTTTGCTTTTAAAATACTTTAATAGTAGATACTGATATAGATCAAGAATAACAATTATTTGGCCAATATATAAGAAAGAATATTTGATGGTCTATTTTTGAACATTTGATATAGAGCAAAAAATCTAAGGGCTGTTAAATAATCTTTCAATTACCTTTCTCCGGTTTGTTAGACCCAAATATTTTAGTCAACTTATTTTCCACAATTACTGGTTTTTTGGCATCGCAGACTTTCTGTTTCATCAGACCTATTTTGCTTTCAGTGGCAATGTTGTAATATTGTGAGGTCATGGTAGTCTGACTGATGTGGTCCTTTCCTAAAAAAATTAAAGTCAACCAAACAAACTCATATCAATAAAAAATATATTTTCTTTCAATGTTTGAGCTGAGTAAGACAAACTTAAAAATGACAAATGTGATCTAACAAGTATGAGCGATTCAGATATTGATATTATTGTCAAACTTATTTAATCGTTTTTTTTACCTATGAGTCTTACCATATATTTTAACAAGTGACGGTGAATCAATAATATTTTTTGGTCGTTTCACTGATTTAAATATGGCTCTGTCAATGATTTCATCCATCACGTCTCTGACTATGATCTGCGGGGGAATATTCCAGAGAAAAAACCTGCAATAAACATGTTATAATTCTTGTAAATTATAGATGGAATAGAACTAAATGTAATGTCACAAAAAAGTATCAGTTATTAAGTTAAGTCTAAATATTGACTTCTGCTCTGCATAAAATTAAATTTTTAAAGAAATTATTTCTTTGACGCTCGCGATTATGATACATGAAAATAACTACACTATCATTTTATTTCATCTATTTATTTAAACTCACTTGTTGCTATACTCCAGACGCAAAGTATTCAAATGTTTCGACCAGGATCTGGGCATTGCTCTCACAAGGCGTGGCTTCAAGCCTTTTTGTCTCATTCCCAAACCCATTTCTAAATCTCCATGAATTATGAGTAGTTTGCGATTATTTGTTGCTTCATTGTACTCTTGCCTGGCTAAAATAAAATAAAATCATTAATTATGATTTTTCTGTGAAATTGTGATAGAAAAAAGTTGCGACAGCTATACAGTGATAATGAAGTTGGTTTTACTCAATTTTGGAATATAGTAGATAATAATCAGACAGTGTTCAGTCCAGTTAGGACTATAATGAATAGAACTAAATAAAACTCATGGGGCACAGAACAAAGCTTATAGGGAAAAAAAATTGGATGCGTAATCCAATTTTACTTTGATTCCTTGATTACAAATTCATATTGTGAATTAACTAAAAGCCAAGTAATGGCCAAAATTATGCTAAATTATTTTTTCAAGAAAGTTAGTGTTTGCACCTATGATGCAAAATTCTTTTTGCTTAATTCTATTATATAACATTTACTAACAAAGTCCATAATGATATCCATGAAGAACATTTGTAGCTAGAAATTGTCCAGATCGGAGCATGTCCATGAATTCATCATTCGATATGAAGACATATCCAGAATTGTAATAATCAATCAATTCACCAAGCTCATCCCCGTCACTTGAGGGCTATAATAGATATATAAATTTATTTATATTTTTATTTAATGATTCATATGAAGCAAACAAATCGTTTTCGAATTTTTTTTAAGTTTCCTAGCTTCAATGTCATTATTAATTAGATGCATTTCTAAGCTAGTGTGCTAATCTGGTTTCTTGTAATATGGTATTCTCCTGCTTGTTAAGAGGTATTTCACATATGGGAATATTTCAATCTATTGTATGGTATACAATACAATAGTTGTCATTTCATAAATAACGCTATCATGAAATTGAAAATGTTTAAAAAAAACAGAATTTAATTTCAACCTGAACAACAAAAGCCTGACTCAGTCAAACTAGCTAAATTTAATTTTGTGTATAATATAATATACTGTACATTCTAATATAATTCTAAAACAAATTTACCGGCAATGGTTCGCAAGTCGTGTGAATCAAGCCGTTGTGAATTTTATCAGGAAACTGATGAGCGACTCTAAAACACAGTCCAGCTGCAAAAGAAGTTAATATCAAAATTATTTTGTGTTTTAGTTTTTAAGTATCTGAACTATTTCAGTTCTAAATGCATCCAAACTAATAGACCAGATATTTTGAAATCTTATTTTTTCCTAATTTTATTTCTATATTAAATTAATTTTTAAAAGTTAAAAATCTAGTGAAGCTCTTTCCAACACTATGCTTCAACGTTTTTCACTATTTGTTGACTTCCCGTAGGGTAAGTTATTGTAATGGGCCGAAAATCGGAATTTAAAATTTTTACATTTCTCGACGTTTTGAAGGTTTCTGAACATTTTGGCATACCTCAGAAAAAATGGATGTGTGTGTGTGTGTGTGTGTGTATGTATGGATACAAATTTTCGCCCACGTTTTCGGGCGTACGGATCAACCGATTAAATTTTCGCCCACGTTTTCGGGCGTACGGATCAACCGATTTGAATGGTTTAAAAAACATTCGATTTTATGATAAGGAAAAGAGCTGATTAGTTTTTGGTAGAGGCAGGTCCAGCAGGTACGGAGATAACGAGCAAAGAGTGCAAAAAATAGAAATCGAATTTTTGAGAGAACGGAGTATCCGATTTGAATGATCTAAAAAACATTCAATTAGTAATGATTGGGAGAAGTGTTTATTAGTTTTGGCAAAGGCAAGCCCAGCCATTTTGAAGATACGGAGCTAAATATGTAAAAAATGGCAGTTTTTGAGAGAACTAAGCGTCAGATTTCTGCTTGTCTTAACAAAATTATTGATTTTGGAAAAAAAAAATTGTTTCATTTTTTTTTTTTTTTTAGTTTTTTGTATATCGAAAATAATTCAGATTTTATTTTTAATTCTGACTATAGTTCTAATATACTTTACAAATAATTTCAACTCTGCAATTCAGTTTATATAATTCTTATAAATATTAGACAATGTTACAATATTCATAATAATCTATTTGAAAACATTCGGTATTCCTCGAACATTTCGTTACGGTACGGGAAGTTCCAGCAATTTGCCTTAAGGCTCGATGCCATAATTGCCTCAAGACAGAATTCCACTCACAGCGAGTTTCCATTTGAGTTTGATCCACATATAAATTTTAATGAATAATAAAACTTCTTAAACTATATAGACTCCAAAACTTTTTGTGTTGTACACTCCTTATGCTTGTGTATTTCCATCGACACCCTATTTACCCAATAAGATTTTTTTTTTATAAATTTCAGGTCAATTTAAAAATATTGGATCTTTGTAAATCGATATTATTGGCATTAATATGATACTACATATAATGCACACTAATTTACATTTTGTGGACCCCTTACCCATTACATTTTTTTTTGTTGACATGGACCCCTGAAAAGTTGTCATGGGTCCTTCGGAGTTTTTATGGACGATTTTGGAAAACACTGGTCTAAACAAATATTCTAAAATATTATGGATAAACGAAAGATAGTTTGATTATAAATATTCATTAAGTTTTCATTAATCATAATTTGAAAAAGTGATAAATTTCTATTCTCATTGAGTATTTCAATTATTCAAATTGCCTTAGCGAAATGCCAATTGTTGCTAGTTAATTTATGTCAAATATATATTAATATATATATATATATATATATATATATATATATATATATACGTTTACGCTCGTACTCATACCTAACATCGAACCAGGAGGCCCCACGAGTATGACAAGTGGCGTTATAAAGTCCAAGATTCCATTTTCACTTGTGGGACAGCCTACGTTTAGTCGTTTGTGTTTGTGCATGTGATTCTTGCAAAATCCTTCATCCAATGCAATGCAATCTATTGCTAAAAGTCTTTTGTAATCCCTATTAGCAACTCCGAAAGCAGTGGGCTCGAATCTTCCCACAGCAACTACCTGGAAAGAAACAAATGATTAGAATTATGAATTAAAGATTGCACTAAATTTATCTTATACGAAATATAATTATGGCTAGCAATAATAAAACTGAGTTATTTTTTTTTACTATATTACCTTTTCTGCTTTTTTTTTACTATATTACCTTTTCTGCTGGGTCAACAGTTTCGCCATCCAATATAGCTATCTTTCTCAAAAGAAATATCACGAATTGCTTGTATCTTTGTGAAGCAAAATTCATTCCTCGAAAATCGGCTGAACCAATAGTATTTAATTCTGTAATATTTATACTCACAATATTATTGATTGTGGTTATATTATGGTACTATTATGGTTAATAAGATACAAGAATATTTTATTCAATTATGTTAATAATGTTATATTTTTTCGTTTTTTCAAGTAATTATATTGTTTTTTTATAGCTATTTTATATATTTAATAAAATTTAAATATATTATATATATATATATATTATATTATATGCAGAAGAACCATACCTCTAAAATGAATTATCTGAGATCCTGTGCATTGACCCAAAAATAAGGGTTAAAATTTCAAAAATTCCTTTTGACTCATCTAGAGTGCCCAATCGCGTCCAAATGTATGACCTATCCCCACTAACTTTGGAAGGCCAATCCCACCCATGCCCGTGGTTTCACCCCCCAAATATGAAAAAGAATGGAAACTAAGATATGTTTTTAAAATAAATTTAATAGATCCATACGTTTCGAGTCCCACAAATTGACTTTTATCATCGCTGGGACTCATTTGATTCAGAACGACTTGAACACAAACAAAGAAAATAAAAAATTACTAAATCGGATTTTTTCTCCGAAAGCATAAACTTTCCCCTCGGAAACTCTTCTTTATCTATGCGTAAAATTGATCAAAAATTCGAAAAAAAAACAAGGTGCATCCATAAATAATCGAGTAAGGGTGCTCTATGGCTCTATTATCCTTCTTGCTCCAAAGTATTTCATAAAATTGAATAGTCAAATGTTAGATGGCGCTAATAGCGTGCTGAAATATAAAATGGCTGATCTATATAATATACGATCTACGTTACCGTATGGCGAAAACTGATTTTGTTTCAAATCACATTGAACTGTAAAGTTTGCACTTTTATGTAAGTTGTTTACTTTAATTTGTGATCACACTTGCACCATGTTGACATTCTGAAAAGATTGTTTGCAGGCCAAAAAAGAACTTTTAATTTGGAATTATTAGCCAAGTTTTCAGACGTAACAATAACTGTCACTTTTCAGATGTAACGTTCTTGGATAAGTATTTATCAATATTAAAAATTAATTAACTATTTATTTTAATCTAGGGAACTAGTACAGATTACAAGTTGGATAGGGCGACACTTGGTAATGTCTATAAAATATTAGTTGCAAATTCAACTGTAGAGTCGAATATTTGCATCAAGGAAAAAGATAAGAAGGTTTTCGAAAATTCTTGAAGTATGTATTCCTTCATTGGCAAATATTTCAGTAGTTTATAAATTAATTTACTATAATATTATATTGCATGTCACCAAATATATATTCACCTTGTTTTAGTCAATTAACCACCTAATTTTAGCACTATTGCTTTCTTGTTAATTTATGGTAATAAAACATGTGCATGTATTAGTTAATTTAAGACTGATGGAGCCACATATAGGTTCCACATTTTTATGTACTTTAATATTTAGTAAAAAAGTGTTATATGTAGAAACCAATTCATTTTTTAGATATATTTACCAATACATTTCATATGATGATCTTGATGAATTAACAGTAAGACAAATCGATGGTTTGTATCTTATGTCAAAAAACATATGAAATTGCTGAATTGTCAAATATTTGCAAGTACCTCTTAGGACCAGAGCTGAACGTTGGTAATGCTTTGGAATGTTTTTATTTGGCAACAAAAACAGAGTGCGAATATAAGAAAGCTGCCTGCATGAATGTATTTAATTTCAGTTTTATATAATGAATGGAAAGTAGTTAATTAGATTAATTTATATTTCTTATATTTTCCTTATGCATGCTACTAAATTAGAACTTATTTTTTCTTTAGCATTTGTTAATATTAGATTTTATTATTGATGAAGCAAAATGAGGTATCAAATGAGAAGCATTGTCAACATTTATGTGTACAAAAAGTTATGATTATGATTCAATCTCTTCATGAATATAAATTATAATGTATTTGAAAATCGAACTGATTCACTTTACAGTTTATAGCAAATAATGCTGATGAAATTCTTCTTCATAAAAAATTGGCTCAACTGGACGCTGGTGTTCTGAGTGAAATTATTAATTTGCCTTCCTTAAATATGGAAGAATTGAATGTGAATATATACATATGTTTATTATTTAATATATCATTCTGATTAAGTTAAATATTTAATCATATACATTTTATTGTTTGTATGTTAATTTTTTTATAATTTAGCTCCTCCATGCTTTGTATGAATATGCTTCCATAAATATTAAAACAAGGCCAAAATGTAACCACAGCGAAGATAGTAATTTAGTTACTATTAATCGAACTATTCAAAATATAACTATTAAAAAAATATGTTCATCTGCAACTAATCGTAGAAATTTTGGAACCATCATATATGAACACAACATAAATTCTGATGAAGAAATATTGCATATCAGAAATTTTCTCTTGGTAATTACAATACAATATATGAAAACTGTATATTATATATTAAGCCCTTTTAAAAAATGTTTTATTTAAGAGCTTATAAAAATTATATAATTTTTCTTTCAGTCGCATGGTTTGATTAACAAAGTTCGTATTCTAACTTCTGATGCAAATGATCTACTATTTGATCCAATTTTTTTAAAAGCATTTGATGCTAATGATATCATATTTATATACGATTACTTATATTCAGAAGAAGAGGCCAAACCAGACATCAAGAGTTCGTTTATTTGCTCAATAACTGAACCAAGAATGACACCTATCAGAGCCAAAAGACCTCGCAGAGCTAAATTATTTGCTAAAATAACAGCTTCTGTGAAATTTCAATCAGAATTTCCGGGACGTATCAAACCCATAGAGAAGCTTGTAGAAAAATTTGAGTATCTATGTGCCGTCCCTATGTCAATCGAATATATAGTATGGCGTACAAAAATGCCCAAGTCTGAACTCGATAGACTTTCAATAAATTTAATAGTAGATGACATAGCATTACCAATACGTTCAAGGTCAAATCTGACAATAGATACATTTATGAAAACTAACTTTGATTCAATCAAAGGAAAGAATCATGTTTTTCGTAAAGGATCCAAATTTGAAATAATGTTTGAAACAAAATCTCCTTATAAGAGGATCGACTATTGGTTACTCAAGAAAGACAACAACTATAAAATTTTGGACCATGGTGATAGATATTGGACTCGCATAAAAGAGTTTGGGCTAACATTTCATATTGGGATTTGATTAAAACAATTTGTTTATAACAATTCGTGGTACCATTTTGTATTATTTGTAATAAAATAGTTCTAATTTCATTAACGTCCTGAAGAAGTAGTTCGTTTTTGCCAAATTCTATTTGCTAATCATTCAGTCAATTATTCAACCATATGTGTATTTATTTTTGCATTCATACTTTTTTTAATGCAATCTCAAAATTTGTACTCTTTCTCAGTCATCTTCTTTATTTAAACGTTTTGGCACTTGATATGTTGTTAAAATAATCAAAAAATAAAACTAAGAGTTTTTTCATTAAAAATTTGCAATTTAATCAATTCAAAATTGGCAAAAATTTAGAAAATTATTTTTTGTAAGTTCTTAAATAGTTAGGTTTGAGATTGTTGCTATTTTTTTTTTTTGTTATTTGTCAATTAAAAAATGTTTTAATTTTGTGTTTTAGTTTTTCATTTGATTCACTAATGATACATACAAAGTGTCGAAACTTATAAATGAAGTAGTGAAATTGTTATTCGATTAAAAATATTATATATATATATATATATATATATATATATATATATATATATATATATATATATATATATATATATATAATTAAATAATGAAATGAATGTTTTTACCTGTAAATAACTGGCTTCGTAAAGATGCTCGATTCTATTATATGAAAAGTTTATCAGTAATAATTTCACTGTATCCTTCATTAAGCTCAGGCTAGACAACTTGTTATCCTTCGAAAAATACAATTTATTGCTAATTATAAGGTTTTGAATACACTTCGACTTAAGATATGCACTCAAAGTTTATTAATTCATGCTTGAATAAAATAGCGACAACATTTGCCTTTGCACTATCGTATTTACAAACTGTTTAATACGGCTTAACTGATGATGTTTTAATATAATTATATAATAATATAATTTAATTGTTATATATGAAAATTTAACCTTTATTGCCTTTTTTTATATTATACTTTTTTATATTTACCCTAAGCTAGAAATATTAATAGTTAATATTTATTAATAGATACTTATAATCATTTAAGTAGTATATATATATATATATATATATATATATATATATATTATGTATTGTTTTTATATTAAATATCTTAATTACTTTAGATTTTAGCAAAACTTCAGAAATAGACAATTAGTAGCCTATTAAGTAAATAAGGAAAGAGATTTACTTAAAATTATTTTTATGAAAAGCACATATACAACTGCAATTTTAATTTTCTGGACTTCTCAATCTCTTCTAAGAGTTCTTACTTATAGCTCATTTGGTAAGCGTAGTTTATAGTATGTGTATATATATATATATATATATATAACAAATGTATTCTGAGTGAATAATAGATATTAATTTGGAACTATGAACAAACAACACTCTTTTTGAGACAAACCTAGCCTCGAAACGTTTGTGAAAATTATTATTTAATAAATTAGTGCAAAAAAGAGTGTTGTTTATTCATATTTCCAAATTAATATATATATATATATATATATATATATATATATATATATATATATATATATATATTAATATTCTTGTCAAAAGAAAAAAACCTGAAGATGCAGTCTTCTCAACTGCCTTAGACTTGCAATCTCTCCCGGTTCACAAGAATCGATTTCGTTATGGGACAGATCCAGTTCCATCAATCTCAAATTAGTCAATCCAGAAATATTTTTGATACAATTGTAAGAAACGTCGAGATACCTCAAATACCTTATAAAAATAATATAATATATATTACGTCAGTTTGTAATACTTTAATGCATAAATTCATTGCTTACATGAGATGGTTTAGACCTTCCAGGCGTTCTATTTCGTTATGGGATAAATCTAGATGGACCAGGGACCAAAATTCTGTGAGGTCGTATATAGCTTTTATTTTATTGTAGGAACAATTCACATAAGTCAGGTTCCAAGGTGCTAAAAATAATATTTAATGTTAAAGAAAAGTGTGAAAACAATTCAAGAATATTTGATTTATTACTTAGATTAGGGCGGGTCAAATTTTGTGGTCATTGGGTCACATCGCACACATTTAAGAAATTTTGCTGAAGAAACCATAGCTCAGGATGAAATTTTAAGCCAGCGATATTTCTAATAATGTTTTTTCTCCATAAATTTGAATAGAACCTCACAAGAACTCATGTTTAATCTTCTAATAAAGTTAATAGTCAAAAGAAAATCCTAAAAGTATTTGTTTTGCCAAAGTTTTTTAAAATAACCCATAGAAACAAGATGTGCACGGTGAACTTAGGGCTCATATAATTTAACCCAATTGAATAAACATGTATATATTAATATTTAAATTTTTTTATTAACTTGTTTTACAGACCTTTAAAAGCTAAACATTCCGTTAATACGTTATGATTCAAATCCAGATTATTAAGATAGGTCAGCGTGCCCACTTCCGAAATATTTGTTAGATAATTATTAGATAAATCTAAGCTTTGGATATAACGGCATTTGGTCAGGTGAGAATCCAATTTTATCAATCCCTAAAATAAAAAAAATATTACTAAGCATTTTAAATATATGCATATAAATTCTCAGAATTAAAAAGTTATATCATTTTCGATTTGCGGTTTTAATAATAGTTGTAGAATTTATTGTAATTTTCTCTGTTTTCGAAAATTGAGAGTTTCTTGATAATAACTGCAAAAAATAAAATATGTATATATAATTTTCCTAATATATAAGGTATAATATAAAATATCTAATTTTAAAATCTTGATAATACTTTTGATATTACTTTATAATATATCATTTTATGAGACTATGTGCTTATATTTTCAAATGAGAAACCTTCATTTTTTAAGCTGAAACTGAATATGAACCAGCCACGTGACTAAAACGTAAATATTTTATTTTTGTCAGCATAGACACTGAGTAAATATCAAAAATAGACATTGGACAAAGATTACAAATTCGAATAAAATTGTTAAATTACATATATTGGGAGTCTGCAGGGTCCGCTAAGCCTACTCTGGAAGTGCACTAAAAAAATAAATATAGGCAGTTCATGAAAGAAATGAATAAATGTTTTAATCTTTATTACTGGGTAGTAGATTTAATATTCAAATATTTCAATTACCAATCCGCTTAAGTCAAGTTTCAGCAGCATAAATTCTTTTGTTTCAGGATGTTGTCCTAGGCCTTTCAGAAATTTGATTTCTGCCATAGAATTTCCTGATTCTGAACGTAGGGCAATATCACGCGCCTTTGCATTTTTATCGTATCTATTAAATATTTACGATATATAAAGGATGCACTGATTAAAAACTGCGAATAAATATTTTTCATTATTATATCTTTTGCATTTGAATTACCTATCTTTGTCCAGGCCAATTGCACCCCATTCTCCAAGCTGCCCTGACATATAAGAACTTTGAGTCGAAACCGTTGATGGATCGACTTGTTGAAATCCCTAACAAGAAAGAAATATAAATTATAAATTTTATACTGTTTATTAATTAACTTTCCGTAAGCAGGGCCGGATTAAGACATTCGGCTCTGGGGCACTGACGAAAATGCCGCCCCATCCCTGAAATTTTACTTAATAACTATATGATTGCAGAAATTCAAATTTTGGCTTATCACATCACAGATATTTTATTATCATATTTTTTCAAACTTTGGTTAACTTAATTTTTTAAAAAATTAATCGACTCGTTGTAGAGCCATAATATTTTGTTTAGTATATTCTTAAAATGTTCTCGATTTTTTTTTTCTACAGTTAATTACTAAGAAACGGCTCGGCTGATCTTTATCCAAATCTAATCAGCCTGATTCCCAAATGATATCTTTCGAATAGCTTTTGAATTTTTGAAATTGCTTCAGAATTTTTGGCTAAAACGTGGACAAAAACGTTTCACTTTGCTGCTAATTACAAAGGGACGGCTCGGCCGATCGTTACACAAATTTGAAAAATGATAGTCTTTATCGAGTTACATTGAATGGCTTTTTAATTTTTGTAATCGGTCCAGCCGTTTTTGAGAAAACGTCGACGGGTGGTCAAAAAATCGGTTCACATACATTCACACGCACACATACATACTTTTTCCGAAATTGGTCTTATTCGTTTCAAAATGTCTCAAAACGTCGAGAAAACGAAAAATTGCAATCGTATTAGTTTTGTTAATTATATTTCTTGAAATAAAAAAATAAATTAAAAAATAAACAAAAAATAATTAGTTTTTATGCATATTTTTACATAATATTGCATATTAATTTGTAGTCTGATATCAGTTGAAATTTATAAAATTAAAATTAAATCATCAAAAAAAGGGAAGCGCAACAATTTATTTATATTAGTGCAGGGAGGCGCGGTGCAAAAAAGGTTGGAAACCACTGCCGTAGGGTCAATTATAGCAAAGAAAAATCGAAAAACAAATTTCTTTGCATATCTTTAAGACTTTTTTAATATTTTGGCATAAAAATTCTTTCTTCGACGATTTTGAGAGCACAGATTAACCGATTTCAATAATTCAAATGTTTATTGATGGGGAGACGTGCTGATTAGTTTTTGGCGAAGGCAGGTCCAGCCGTTTCGGAGATACGGGGCAAAAAGTGCAAAAATGGCAATTTCGTTTTCGAGAGAACGGAACATCCGATTTGAATGATTCAAAAAATATTTTACTTGTATTGACGGAATGAAGACTTTACTAAATTTTTGGGAAAGAAGGTTCAGTGGTTTCGAAGATTCGAAAGAAATACATTACATATGGCGGTCAAAAATGATCATTAGACATATGCATATCAAATCATCAGATATTTCATAGAGATTTTAATAATAAATATAAATTTTATTTACATTTCTTTAGGTTCCGTATCAAGATTTATATGTTTAACCGTTTCATCTCTAAAACAGCTATGCAGCTATGCGTGATCGCTTTGAAAAAATTCAAAATTTTCAAAAAATTTCATAATTCTTGTACGGCACGGAAAGTTCCAGCAATTTGCCTTACTATTTTATATTTGTTTTATCTCTTCGTTTGTAATTGTATGTATAATTTCTATTGTGGAAGAGTTAAGTATAAGTTCAATGGACTTTTAATTGGTGATTACATTTTGTATGCTGGCAGATCCGTTTATCTCGATAGTTAAGCCTCTGACTTTAACTAGTTACAATGACATTTCTTTATGTAATCACGACCATTTATCAAATATGATTAGTTTTGAAGAACACAAGTCTACTTAAATATTCATATTGTATATGTAATTTTTGTTTGTCATACTAAATTTATAACAAATCGATTTTTATATATATCTTATATATGAATGTCAGCGAAATGCGTTAGCCGTTATTATGCTATTTTTAGGGTTTTATTTTTTCAATAATAAAATTATCAAGTATTTTACCATTTTGCAATCCCGATTAATACGCCTACTTTTGAAGAAACTTTTCTTCGCACTTAAGTTCATTCTTTTAAAGGAGGGCCTTTCAAAATCGATTTAAATCTTTCTTAAATCATCGACTTAAATTTATTTAAAAATTTTAATTATATATAGTTTAACAAAAAGTCTTAATTCTTGAAAACTTGGGGCAATTGTATTATTAACTCTAGTAAGTTAAATTTAATGGGCCAAAAATCGGAAATAAAATTTTTTGCATATCTTTACGTTTTCAAGGTTTCTGAACATTTTGGCATTTTGGATGTGTGTGTGATTGTGTTTATAAATGTGGATACGATTTTTCGTCGACGTTTTCGGGAGTACCACTCAACCGATTTGAATGATTGAAAAAGCAATCGATTCCCACTGATAAGAATTGGAGTTAATTTGTTTTTGGCAAAGGTCGGTCCAGCCGTTTCCGAGATACGAAGTAACGAGTGCAGAAAATGGAAACTCGGTTTTTGCAAGAACCGAGCATCCGATTGGAATTATTTAAAAAACATTCAATTCGTAATGATGGGGAGAAGTAGTGATTAGTTTTTGGCAAAGACAGGTCTAGTCGTTTCGAAGATACAGAGCTTAATGTGTAAAAAAATGGCAGTTTTTGAAGGAACGAAGCATCCGATTTGAATGATTAAAAAAACTTTTTGCTTGTGTTGACAAAACGATCGTTTTGGAAAAAGCAAAAAAAAATTTTTTTTTTTTGAATATTGAAAATAATTCAGATTTTAAGTTTAATTCTAGCTAAAACACTTGAAATAAATAATTTTAAATAAAATATTAATTTTTCATTTATTATTATTTTATTGAGCTTTTTTACTTAAATATAAAATTATAAATTTATCTAAACAATAATTTACCATTTCTGAATCCTCTCTGGAACCATCGATTTCATTTTGCATCAATTTCTCTAAATTGCTTGGAGTCCACAAAACATTTATTCTAGATTGAGAATCATCATCTGCAGATATTAGACTAAGAAATTCAGTTTTAGATTTTTTCTTTGACTTCGGCATTTAAGGGCCGAATTTAAGGGAAAATAATTTAATTATATGTGAAATAAAAAGATTTAAAACCTTTGTGAATAAAGTGTGTTAATATAATTCAATAAATATAGGTATTTGATAAAAAACAATTTATAAAAAATTAAAACAAATGAATTTTTCACATCATAGAAAATAGATATTGTTTTGTTTTTGCCTATTGTTGTATGAAGTCGCATACTTTAATATTCAGAAGTCAATTTAACACATTTTAATTTAAAGTTAAATAATTAATACAAAATATTATTTATTCCGATATACAATAAATATCTAAATAAATTATATTATTTATATCCGATATACAATAAACAAGCTGCAAGTCGTCATAGTTAAGAAAAGAGAAATCATTGAAAAAAACTTTTGAAAAGTATATTATAAGCAAAATTTAATTACTGATTTTTTTTACTGGAAATATTGAAACTACTAAAAACTCAAAATAATAATATTTATTCACTTTTTTCGAATTTAGGGCCACACGATTAAGAATGACTTGAAACGTCGAAAGTTATTTAATCGATTTTTTGGGCGAAAACGTAAATTTCAACTTCGCGCAATTAATATTAAGAAAAAGGTTTTTGAAAAAGTACAAGAAAATTTAATAGAAAGCATTAAAAAAGATTTAATGAGTTTAAGAAAAATTCAGTCACTAATTTTTTTATCCTGGGATTACATTATTATCATTGAAATACTGAAACTACTAAAAAATCAAAATAATATTTATTTACTCACTCACATGCAACTACTTTTACGCAAATACTTTTTCCAAATTTGGGGTCAAAATGACCTAAAATATGAAGAAAACCATAGATAAATAAGCATAAAAGAAAAAAGTACTGGAGAAAATGACTTAATCAAATTTAAGGGAGAAAACATAAACTTTTACTTCGGAAAAGAAAAAAAAATACAAAATACAAAAAAAATCAATAGAAGCATCAAAAAAAATGTAAGAAAAAATCAACTACTTAAAGATCAAAACAATAATATTTATTTACTCACTCACATACACGCCTATCTTTTTTTCAAATTTGGGAGAAATGAAAAAGAAGAAAATAATTTTTAAATGTCTTGGATGTAAGAAAAATCAATAGAAAGCATTAAAAAAAATGAACAGTACATTTTAAGAAAAGGAAAAATGATTAAGAAAAATAAATAAATAAATTAGTGGTGCATGGCATTGTGCCTTAAAGCAAATTGCTGGAACTTCCCGAACCAAAAAATTATTTTCTTTAAAAAGATTAAATTTTTTTTAAAACTTTGAAATAATTAGATTTTTGGAGAAATTTTAAATTTTTGAAAAAAATATACTTTTTTGAAAAAAAAATTCTTTGTTTTGAAATATTGGAAATTTTGAACTTGTTTTTACAGCAATCGTACGGCTTTAGCTGCATGGAAAATATCGAAGCGCGTAAGCGCCGCGTCGCCGTCTTACGGACAAACGATGTTATGAAACCCATAGAAATGTAAACAAAATTTAAACGTATTATTTAAATCTCAATTTAAATCTGTCAATGTAGAAGCTTACAAAGCCAATAAAAAATAAATAAAAAAAATCTCCATAAAATATCAGATTATTTGATGTGCCTATGTTTAATGATCATTTTTGAGCGCCAAATCGTTTTTTTCACTTTTTTAAATCAGTTTTTCAGATTGTCAATACAAGTAAAATGTTTTTTGAATTATTAAAATCGGACGCTCCGTTCTCTTAAAAACTGAGTTACCGTTTTTGGCACTTTTTGCCCAGTATCTTCGGAACGGCTAGACCTGCCTTCGCCAAAAACTAACCAGCACATCTCCTTATTAATAGGAATGGAATGTTTTTTTGAATTATTTAAATCTGTTGAACCGTGTTCCCGAAATCGTCGACGAAAGTTTGTATCCGTACACACGTACACACAAACGCAAACATACACACACATAATAGGTTGTCAAATATCTCCCTTCCGCCTTTTTGTATTATAAACCAAGAGCAGATATTTGACAACCTAATACATCCACTTTTTCTAAGGTATGCCAAAATGTTCAGAAACCTCTGAAACGTAAAGATATATAAAAATTTTCATTTTCAATTTTTTTTGCGATTACTATAACATACCCTACGGAAAGTTAAAAAAATCAATAGAGATCTCTAATGCTCGAGCATTGATAAAAAGATTTGAAGAGTACATTTTAAGAAAAAAAAAAAAAATTTTTCTGTGAATTGCATATTATTGTCATTGAAATATTGAAAATACTAAAAGATTAAAATGATAATAATATTATGATTATTGTGGTATCAACCAAATACCAACGAAATACTGTTACCGTGCAGCGCCTGATGATTTGAATTTATTTAATCATTATGTATTATACATTCTACAAACACAAACCCCGCCATGTATTCAAAATGCAGCTGTTAAAACAGCTTTCTGCAACGCCACGTTGTAGTGGTGACGTGCATGTCATAATAAAGTGTTCAGGCAAAGCAAAGAAGTAAATATTATTTGCTTTAGGTGAGTTTATTACGGAAAAATATATCATGTGATTTTATCTTTTTAAATTTAATTGATTTTTTATTATTGGGCAATTGTTGTGAATAAATGCATTTCTAGAAAAATATATTTTTGTGCAATTGTTGATATGTTACATGAGCTGTCAAAGTGAGCTCTTGTTATTGTTGTTTCATAAACAATTTGTTTATAAAAAGTACTGAATAAGATATAATTATTTGTATCTATTGATAATTTGAAATATTTATAAATTTAGAATTTGCTGTAAAAATTGTGCAAATTTAGTTTAAACGTCAGCGGGTGACGTGTATTTTGAGGTTATGTGGTAAATTTTGGATAGTGTCGAGTTGTACTTATTTCTTTTGTGGTATATATTTTAATATAGTAATTGTATTATTAAATTGTTCTAAAAATAAATTTTTTAATCTTTCACTAACAAATTAAAATTACGTATTTTAATATTTGGTAATATATTACCGGATATAATTATCCGGTTAAAACAAGTAAGAAATCACTTTTTGACACTTGTAGCATACCAAGTTTATGTTCAAATCAAATATTAATTAATAATTTTTTTTATCACCCTTATTTTACGTAACAGAATTGTTTAAATGTATTTTTGTCAATAATAATATTTACCATCTCCGTATAAGCCTCGACTGTAATAGTAAGGTTCATTATCTTTTATTTAAGATAATTTAGTCGAAAATCAAGTGTTTGTTTCGCTTGGTATAAAGAAATGTTATTATCAACATCCATTGTCTGGCATCTACATAAAAGTTTACAATTTACAGTTGAGCGAAACCTATGCTGTAGTATAATTAAAAAGACTTGTTTGATTTCAAACATTTCACTTTTTATGAAGAAATTTCATTATAGCGACTGTTGTTATCTATCTTCACAGAAATATTTACAGACCCATACTTTTTTAAAATTTGGAGTCAAAATGACCTGAAACATAGAGAAAACCATAGATAAATAAGCATAAAAGAAATTACTGGAAAAAACAAAATAAAATACATAATCAAATTTTAGGGCAAAAAAAAACTTTGGGAAAGAAGAACGAATAAAATAATCTTTGAAAAAAAATAAATATGAGAAAATTCAATAGAAAACATGGAGTAAAAGATTTGAAAATCTTAAGGAAAATTCAATTACAAAATATTTTTTCTGTGGATCGCCTTATTGTCATTGAAATATTGAAACTACTAAAGGATCAAAATAATAACATTTATTCACTCACTCATATGCACTCACATATTATTATTATTATTATTATTATTATTATTATTATCTTACTATTTCTATTATTGTTATTTTGTTATACATTATTATTTTTCTAGTATTATTTTATTATTCAGAAATTTTATTTATATTATTTATTAATTTTATTTTTATTATTATTTGCTTATATTTTACATTAAATCATATTACGGATATTATTTTCATGTAAATTTTATCCTTTGCTCTTTTATTTATTGAAATTTATATTATTATTTATCAATATTACTTGATGTTAATAAATTAGCAGTTGTAATAATTATTGAAATTAAAAAAAAAAAAAAAAAAAAAATATGCACTTACATACTTTTACCGAATTTGGAGTCAGGCTATTAAGAATGACTTGAAACATTGAGAAAACATAAAATTACTTAATCGAATTTTGGGATAAACACATAAACTGAAGATAATTTATATGAAAAACAAGTGTTTGGAATAAAGAAATTTCAATATTGACTTTTATTGTCCAACATCTACACAAAATTTACAATTTAGAGTTTGGTAAAACCTATGCTTTTGTATGATTAAAAAAACTTGTTTGATTTAAAAAAAATCACTTGTTATAAATAAATTTCATTATATCGACTATTGTTATCTAGCATCTACACGTTTTTTTTTTTTTTTTTTTTTAAATTTTTATTGGCCTCCGCTTTACAGCATTTTAGCCATCTACATTATTCATATTATTTTTTATCATATTCTATACAATTCTTACATATATATTTCTTATACATATATTATAAATACTATCTCTTCTTATATCCTAATCTTCCATTCAATTTTTCTTTGATTTTCATTCTTCTTTTTGTTTCTCAATATGTTCCTCTAATTTTTTAAACTAAACTACTTTTTACCTTCTTACTTCTAAAACAATTTTTTCTTGTATTCTACAAATTAACAATTCTTAATCTAATTTAATATTTTATATTTTTAATTCTTGTATTTTTAATTCTTTTAGTCTCTATGTTTACTAATATATTAGTTATTAGTTGTTTGATTTAATTACATTATTTGCTAAATAATGTTGTGCAAAATATTTTATTACATTTGAGAGCATTATCATCACTAATTCTATTTCTTTTCCCTCAGTTGACCATTAACAGGTCAAGATGAAACTGAAGGAGAGTCAGAAGACAGCCAATATAGCCTGGTCACCGGCTACAGTCCATCCAATATATTTAGCAACAGGCACCGCCGCCCAGCAATTGGATTCAAGTTTTAGTACATCCTGTTCATTAGAGATTCTTGGCTTAAATGCCAAAAATAATAATAAAGAATTCGAATCGATCGTAAGTGTCCAGAGTGAGGATAGGTTTTATAAATTAGTTTGGGGTAATCATGGCGACAGAAAAGGTGCCATTGTTGGAGGTTGTGAAGCTGGAAAGATTAAGGTTTATGATGCTGAAAAGTTGATTAATGGAGAGGAAGGACTTATAGCAAAGCAAGAAAAGCATACAGGTTAATAAATATAATTTCAGTTAGAAAAAGAAGTTAAGGGTACTGATTAGCATTAATTTTTATTTCAGGGGCTGTTCGAGCTTTAGATTTGAATCCTTTTCAAACAAATTTGCTGTCATCAGGTGCTAGTGAATCTGAAATATACATTTGGGATTTAAATCAAACAGATACACCAATGTCTCCAGGAACAAAAACACAACCGAGTGAAGATATTGTTTCTTTAGCCTGGAACAGACAAGTTAGTCTTTCTTCATACTTACAACAAAATTCAAATATTTATTATTTAAACTTTTAGGTACAACACATTTTGGCATCCTCATTTCCTAGTCGTTGTGTAGTGTGGGATTTAAGAAAAAATGAACCGATTATTAAATTAACGTAAGATATTTGATATTGTCTTGAATTGATTTTAAATGTATTGAATTATGATATGTATTCAATGAATTTTGTAGTGATAGCCAATCACATTTGCGATGGTCGTGTGTTTGTTGGCATCCAGAAATAGCTACACAATTAGCCTTATCATCAGAAGATGATCAAAATCCTGTAGTTCAAATATGGGATCTCAGATTTGCTACATCGCCATTAAAAGTTAGTTTGTGAATTATAAATAAATCTCTGGAGCTGGAAGAAAGTAATGTAATTAAAAGCATGAACTATATTTTACAGGTATTCCAGAAACATTCTCGAGGTGTGTTATCATTGGCATGGAGTCAACAAGATCCAAGTATATTATTGTCATCCGGTAAAGACAATAAACTCTGTATTTGGGATGCTAACAGTGAAGTTCCTGTGAGTAACATAAATATAATTTATGAAATATCTGACGGTATTATTTATCTGACACTCAATTTTGTTGTTAAAGGGAGGAGAACTTCTTTCAGAACAATGTTTATCTACGCAATGGAATTTTGCAGTAAGTTTAAGTCCACGAGATCCTTCTCTGTTTGCTGTGTCAAGTTTTGATGGAGCAATAAGTGCTCACACTCTTATGGGAGGCTCTTTTGTACAGGTACATCATTATTTACTTGGTGCATTTTAGAAATGTAAACCTAGTTTTACTATTTTTAACATAATTATTATAGGAAGTTCAGTCAACAAAAAATATTGCTGATTCCTTTCCTGGCATGGATAATTTCCAACAACAGCAAGCTGCAAATCAGTTTAATTCTGTGAATAATACTGTTGTTCAACATTCAAGTGATCCCTTAAAACCTCCAAAATGGTTAAAGAAGAAAGCTGGTGCTAAGTTTGGGGTAACACACAATTAAAGCTTGTTTCACGTTTTGACTATATAATTTATAACTTTGTCATGATTATATACTATTTTTTATCATTTTAGTTTGGAGGTAAACTTATTTCATATACTTCTGAGCGACCAAAAACTGTAGATGTGTCTCAAATGGTAACAGAACCTGAGCTGGTGACTCGATCTCAAGATCTTGAAAGATGTGTACAAAACAATACTTTCTTAGAATATTGTCTTGAAAAGGCAGATCGAACTCAAGATCAAAACGATAGATATTTATGGTACTTCTTAAAGGCCAGATTTGCACCTGACACCAGGGGTGAACTTTTGGATTTATTAGGTAATTACTGAGAATATAAAAGATTAATTTTTAAATCCCCATAATTCGTCTCTATGCTGCTAAAGCAAAAGTTGAAAATTTCCAAAATAAAAAAAAACATTTTTTTTTAAGTTTTTTCCAAAAAAGTCAATTTTTCTCAAAAATTTTAAATTTCTCAAAAATCAAATTTTCTCAAAGATTAAAAAAATATACTTTTTTAAAAACAAAAAAACTTTTGGTACGCTAAGTACTAGCAATTTGTCTTAAGGCATGATGCCATACTTCACTAGTTTAATCTTTGATTATGTCTGCTCAAGTATTTTAAAAATTATAATACCTTCAAAGTAAAATTGTTACCACTTTGTTTCAGGATACAAAACTGATGATGTTACACAAAAATTACGTCAACACGTTCAATTGAGCCAAACAAACCAAGTTGATAATCTTACAGATCAGATGGCAAATCTCAGTCAAGTATGTTTTTTTTATAATTTACTATAATATAATTCTATAATTTAATTATTATTATACTATTAATTTTTTTATGAACTGCAATGTTAAATTTTCTTCCTATCATCATTTTTCATATCACAATTAAATAAAACATTTCATGTTGTGTGCATTTTTGTATGATTGATATATAGTGATACATTTTTTACACAGAAATTATTGCAGGTATGATACATTATAATAATAATTTCAATAGATATATTGTTAGCTAAGTTTTGACTGTTTTATCTTTAATTAAATATATACATATACTTATTAATTTATAATTATATAAAAGTGCGATTCTTCTGAATGTGAACCAGATGCAGGAGACTCTGATATCAGCTGTGCTAACTCGGTAAGGTTCTATAAACCATCAAAGTATGTCGTATAATTAAATGTTATTCAGCATGACTATTGGTGTATTAGAGTATTTTTATACATATGAATATCGAAATAAGTAAATTAGCATTAAGCGCATGATTTTAGATAAAATTATTGTGTTATTTTTATTTGAAGCATATATTTTAGCTATAATAAATTCAATAAATTAATATTCATTAATGGATATAACTTAGGCTTTTAAACTTAATTATTTATAAGTGTATTTTAATTTATGTTAGGTATTGTCTGTAATTTAGATAACTCAATAATATTTATTTGTTTTATTCTATTTTTTTATTAGGATTTGCGACCAGAATTGAATATCTGAAATATTTTTGTTGAATGAAGTGCACTGTGTGATTAAGTCATAAATATCATTTAAAATATTTATATTACTTTTAATTTATTTTTTAGTTTTTTATGTATAGCTGTACAGTATTTAATTAATTATTATTGTACTTACAGTATCTCAAATTTGTTTGCAGACATCTTCTTACGTAAATAAAATATTTAATTTTTATTTTAGGGTGTTGATGGTTCTGCTGCTTTTGATGCTATTGCAGCTGCCGGACAGAAAGAGATTATAAAGGATCTTAATACTCCTCCCTCCATTCCAGTTAAAATAAATACTGGTGAAGGTATGATCAAATTCATCCAATACTATAATCAAGACCATATTAAGAATACACTTTATTTGTTTTGTTTATTTAGATGTCGAAGGTTTGATAACATTAGCTATTTTATCTGGCAATATTGAAGCAGCTGTCGAACTTTGTCTTGATTGTGGTAGAATGGCTGATGCCATAATAATTTCTATCACAGGTAAATTGGCTGATAATTATTTTCAATCTATCATGTATCTTATAATAGAAACATCGAGAGCTGATCTTTTTTAAAAAAAACTATTGCATAATTTTTGTTTGTAGGTGGCTCTGAGCTTCTTGCCAGAACCCAACATCGATATCTGGAATCTCAGGCAAAAACAAAATCAGCTTTATCGCATTTAATATCTGGTTTAGTCACTGAAGATTGGTCTCGCATAGTGTCTGAATCGGATCTGGATTCCTGGCGTGAGGTACTTGCTGTTATTTTAAAGAATTGTAATGAAGAAGATGCCTTCAAGGAATATTGCGGTAAGTAGGAATTGAAGAACAAAGAAGTGTTCATTATTTTTTAATATATAATGCATATTTACCTGTTTTTTCTTTGATTCACAGAAACTTTAGCCCATCGTTTAACATCAGCTCAACGTTTTCAAGAGGCTGCACTCTGCCACGCATGTGCTGGTGATGCTGATGCCCTTGCCAAACGTGTTACTAGTGGGGGATCAGGTGATGCTTGTGATGTTAATGCACTTATGGACGCTGTTGAATTGGTGACAGTAATGCGGGCGTCTGCTGCTATGCGTGGGCAGCATCTTGAGGTATCATAATGGCAAAATGTATTGTTTATGATTTTGATTCTAATTGTAATAATTTTATCAGCTTTCTCCATCAACAAGTACATTGTTAACACGGTACGCAATGGAGTTGTCAACTCAGGGATCTTTGGAAACAGCTCTATCACATCTTGGCCAAAAATCCACTGTGCCAGCAGAGCAGACAGAATTGGATGAATTGAGAGATAGACTTTACTGTGCTTTAGGCCTAACTGATCCTTATAGAAAAAATATGGTATGTTTTTGATAAAAAACTAACTATATTTTTGAAGTATTGCATTGTAATTTTTTTGTGAGAACATTTGAAATTTTTACTTTAGCAAGTACAGCAAACCTCACAAAATTCTATGTACCAACAGCAGATGAGACAACCTAGCTATTCTCAAGTAAACAGCAATCAAACACCAATGTTCAATACTGGTAAGTTTTTGTACTGCAATAATAGTAATGTATATTACCAACTTAAAAGCTTATAAGATGTAGCTATTTTTTATTAATCTATTTATTACAGGATTACCTGGTCAAATTCCAGTTTCCTCAATGATGCAACCACCTAAGCCAATGATGCCACCTACAAATCCAATAATGGCATCTTCCAATCCATTAATGTCACTTCCAGCTATGCCTCAAACAAATCCTATGATTCCAACACAAAGTTCTATACTTTCTCCATCGAGCATGGCTAACCCATTGTCCCAACCATCAATTCTTCAACCGGCTAGCACTCTTATGCAACCTCCTCCAAGCACCGGCATGATGCCACAGCAACAGCAGCAACAACAGTTTGGTCAACCACCAAGTAATGTTTTCCAACCCCCATCTATCGGTTCCACGATGTTCCAATCGCCTAATTTACCACAGGCGCCGCAGCCTGTCCAACCACCGCCGATGCAGCCTCCACCTAGACCTGTGAGTGTTGGATCATCTCATGGTAAGTGAATATCTAGTATTAGTATAAACATTTGTAATGTAATTTCACTCATTTATAAACCAATGTAATTTCACACACGTTGTTTTAGGATCTGTTAGTGGTAGTTCTAGAAGTAAATACATCTTAGATCCTTCTGTACAATCAGGTGTTACCAATCCATATGGTTCTGTATATAACAATACATCATACAATAGTCCAATGCCTTCTAACTCAATGTACAATTCGCCTGTAAATGCCAATACAGGTAATGAGGAAAAAATATGTTATATATTTTGAATACTAATCAAAAATTTTTTTTAAAGTTACGATGAGCACAATGTCTGGTCAATTCCAACAACCAGCAAGTCTTCTGAATCCTATTAGTTCTCAACCTCAACCAACAAATGCCCTACTTAACCCTATGTTGAATTCACCACAAGGAGGTTAGTTTTATGGATAATGAAATCATATTTGAGCCATTTTATATAAATTTATTTGTGTGTATTTGAACTATAGCGTCAAAACTATCATTTATGGAACTTTACCAACTACTTTTCAGTAAACATAGTTCGATTAAAAATGTTCACTTGTAAATGCTGCCTGATTTATGATCATATCCAAGAACCGATGAATGAATGATAAATGTTTTTATTTATGTCATGTTATTACAGCAGGTTTTGTCAATCAATTCCAACCGCAAGCACCACCTCCTACTCAAATGCCAAGTAGAGCAAACCCTACACCACCACCAGGTTGGAATGATCCACCCGTACTTAATTCTACTAGGAGATCATCGGTGAGTATTGTATATTATATTATATATATATATATATATATATATATATATATTTATAAATTTCTAAATTTATGTTTTTATAATAATTGTCAAAAACGAATGAAATATTCAAAGATACTATTATATAGTTAGAAGAAATGTCAGCTCGCCATGCTGGTACCAGATGTTGGCTCAAATCAAAAACTGAAAAGGGAAAGGTGAACTTTGTGTGTGCGTGGGGTTGTGCTTGTTTTGTGTTCTTTTTTTCTTGGAATTATAAAACTGTTTGAAAATTTATTTAGGATGATAGAATAGAAATTGACAATTCTAATTATTTGCACAGTGACAAGTACAAGTGCAAACACTATCTTATTCTAATTGAGTGATTAGAAGTACAAGTGATCTCAGCATTATATTAACTAAGATTTGAGAAACCAACATATGATGGACATATACTAAAAATCAAATCAGAAATGTGCAGCTTGCATAATAATATTTTAGATCATCTATATTGCGTTATATATTAGGTTGGCAACTAAGAAATTGCGGATTTTTGTTAGATAATCAGACATTTTTTTTATGCAACTAAATAACTGCATTCTGTAATGCATTGTTCATTATGATCAATGACTTTTTGTCATCAATCTACATTATTATCCCACTTTCATAAATCTTCCAGTTTTTATTAGCAAAAAACTGAATTAGATACAATTTGACACCATCATAATTATTGATCTTCTTTTAATTCATGAAGTTTTGTAAAGATTGAAACAAAAAGTCAGAAGGTGCAAGGTAAGGACTATATGGTGGATATGGCAAAACATCCCAACCAAGTTTAAATAATTTTTGTTGAGTGGCCAAAGATATGATATCAATAATGGAATAAATCACCGCTTTTTTGTCAATTCCAGCCGCCTTTCTTCTGTGTTTTTTAATTTTATTTGTTGTGCAATGTAGACAATAGAATTAATCATTCGGTTGGCCGTAAAACTTTAATATAGACAATTCTTTTGTAATCAACTTCAACTGAACGAAAACTATGCAATCTATCAAAAAACTCTCTTTTTACTGATTACTTACTATCCAATAACAAAAAGTATTTTAAATTTTGACTACATCAGCAAACTTATAAATTCAATTTAAACCATCTAAGATTGAAAGCCACATTTACCTAGGTGTCAACCTAATAATTATCAAAAACTTGAATCATTTCTATTGTTTTATTTTTAATTATAGGCAAAGCATATTCATGCAGACCATCAAGCAACAACTGCACCGATTACACATCCGCTGTTTGGCCAACAGCCACCTCAGCAGCAGCCGATGATGTTGAATTCACAACAAAATCAACAAATGCCAATGTTGAATCCTCAGCAACATCAACAACAGCAACAACAACAGTTCATGAACCCTCAACAACAACACGCGCAATTTAACACGGGTTTACCAAATGCTCCTCCAGCCATGATGAATCAAAACCAACAATTTAATCAGGTGAAAATCGGTTTAGAAAATATATGTGCATGATAGTATTAGTATATTTGCCCTAATTTTTTGGTAAACTTAATCTCTAACATTTTAACAGAATTATAATAATGGATATGTTGATAACTTAAATAACCAAATGCAACAGAAAGTTGCTACACCACCGGCTCCAGAGCCTGTTGAAAAGTTCCCCATTCCAGAAGAGCATATTTATCTTCAAGTTGTGCTAGATGAACTTAGAAACAAATGTGCTCAGCACGCTAATAATCCGGTATTAGAAATATATATAGATATAATAATTTTAGTTTTTATAATTAATGAATAATATGATTATATTATTATTTTAAAGCAATTGAAACGAAAATTGGAAGATGTATCTAAGAAGTTAGAGGCCTTATACGATATGCTTAGAGAAAATAGAGTAAGACTTGTTCATGTTTATATATTTATTTAAACTATACAAACAATATAATTTGTGTTATTTATTAACTTTTAATTGCAGTTATCTGATCATACGCTTCAAGTTTTGCATCAAATGGTGCAAATGATTCAAATAGGAGACTATGCAGGTTTGTTGCATGAAATAAATATTGTTCAAATAAGTTTAATTAATTAAATAGTCTAGACCATAGGTTTCCAAACTTTTTTGTATTGTGAGGTTCCATATAAGCTACTTTGGGAATAACTGGTCTAGACCAAATGATAACACACTTTGGTGTTCATATTTAAATATGTTGAAATCATCTTGGTATCAAATATTCTATACTTGATATCATATTAACAAAGCATTATATAGGGTATCCCAGAACTTCATGTCAAGCCGAAACTAGGTGATAGTATTGATCCTAAATGTTCTGGAAAAACTTAGAAAAAAAAATCCCACATTGTTTGTAAATTATGAGCTTCTAAGTGCAACCTAGCGCTTTAGTGAAGTTATGACCATTTTTCGGTTATATTGCTTCATCATTATTAATTTTGTTCATTTCAACTTTGGAACCGTAGCCGTGAATAAAATTTCTAGCAAAAATAACACAATTGCCCCAAGTTTTAAATGCACCAGCTTTTTATAAAACTTGCCAACAGACTTTAGTACTTTTTTTTTGAAAGAAGAGCCACACAGAGTTGACAGATTTAAATAATTTTAAATTCAAAGTTCAACAAAAAAAAGTTAATTCTTGAAAACAATTGTGTTAATTTTTACTGTGGTTCTAGGAACTTTATTTGCAGTTGCAGTTCCAAAGTTAAAATAAACAAAATTCATAAAAAAGCCATTGCACTTAAAATCTCAATTTCCAAACGTGAGATTTTTTTTAAGTAAAACTTCTTTAGGCGCGACTAGGGTGTAAATCAATCAATCAATCTAGGGTGCAAATCAATATTATCATCCCGTTTTGGCTTGGCGTTAAGTTTTGAGACACCATGTATATTTTTTCTATTTTTAAATTTTAATAAATTCTAATGCTGTTTTATCTACATTTTTTTCTATTTTATCAGGTGGTTTAGGTTTGCATACAGCCTTGGTTTCTGGTCCAGACTTTGCTCAAATAGCAAATTTCATGCCGGGACTTAAAGTTTTATTATTATCTGCATCTCAATTACAAGTTGTTCTTCGATAACACGGAAATTAACTTAACAATTAAAACTAACAAGATTAATTCCTGACACCTGTTGCATCGCTTTAGACAAGCGTCTAATTTGAAAGTAAAAATACATTTGAGGTGATTACAAACAGTCATACTTTTGAAGTATTATTTTATACAGCTTGAAATTTATTGAGTTAAATATGTTTATGATATATTAAATGATGTTTGGTTTGATATTAATCTCGCCAAATTTTAAAATGGCGAGAAACACTCATTATAGAAATTGTGCAATTTATTACAGTGCCTATAGGATTTCTTTTCAAAGTTTTCATAGACTTGCGTTCCATTATGATGATTATTTGCAATTTTTTCATCATATAATATTTCAAGAACGTGAAAACTGATTTTTTCTTTGGGTATGCATATAATCATTCACATCATTTTAATTCTTAATTTAGCATTCATGAATTTTGATAAATCCAAAGCCGTACTTTACATAATTTAACTCCGAATAGCAATGAGTAGTTCTTATCAACATTTATTACTACATGATGTGAAAAATAAATGCGAGGTTATATCACAATTGACTTCTCGAACATATTAATTTCACATTTTCAAATAACATATTTATGTCGTCATCTGCCAATGAGTATGAATAAGTCTAGGCAATTTTGAAAGCATTAGCGAAAGGAGCCAAAAATTAATTCATGTTTAAAAATTTATTTTTAGAATTAGTCAAATACAAAATTACGTTGCAATAAGATTCTATTCTGTATTGTTAAACAAATTATATTTTAATCTTGAGGCATTTTAGAATTGTAAATAGTTTTAGAAGATGTATTAAAAGTAATAATTAATAGTTTATATTATATACATAAATATAATTGTACACAAATTTGTACTGATATCCTAATAAAAAAGAAAACGTGAAGATTTGTTAAATCGATTTGAACTACAATGCTTCGATTTTTTCTCGTTTTTGTTGAAAATGTTATTTTAAAACTATAGTTCAATTGGCGGCAATGTACATATTATTATTGAAGGAAAAGTTGATTTTCATTAGAAAACTTGATTTTCTAATTTTAGGTCATTCTGAATCGTTTGGTACTAAAATTGGATAAAGTATGTATCTATAATGTGTATATATTGTAACAAAAACTTGGCTTCCCTTCGACGTTTTCTCAAAAATGGATGCGGTGATGTAAAAAAAGTGTTTGCGTAAGGTTTACATACCATAGAAGTAAAACTTATTTGCTACTAAAATATATCATATAACAATTTTGAATAATGTTTATTAGTAATATGATAACACTCGTGATGCACACATTTACTAGTGTCAACCATTATACACATATAATGATAAATTATATATTTATTCTTCAAAGATTTATACAAACTACGAATAATATAGAAATAATTTCTAATCAATAAACTTATGTTTAGTACACGGCTAGAATGTTTAATTGGTTTTATTATTTGCAAGGAACAGGGTAAAATATTCTTCTGATTCAGACATTTTTTCATTAAATCAAGATTTATACTACGATGTAACTTTGAAATGTTTGTTTATCTATGCCGACTTCCTTGTTGATATCGGTACGCATACAACGACAGATCTCTATTCACATACACGAGGGTTAACCACAATCAACCCTTATTGAAATGATTTCATCGAGAGCGAATGACGTACAGTTCGAGCGTAACACAATTTTTCTTGCATTTGTACGGATTTACACCCTAGTCGCGCCTAAAGAAGTTTTACTTAAAAAAAAAGTCATTTAATGAAACTATATAAGGACTTGCGTTGATAATTATGCTCGACGATCGGCCAAGCCGTTTCTTTGGAATTCGCGGATCCACAAAAATCCTGAACCGATGTTGAAGATTTTGTTGTAATTTATTGATTTTTCGTTTATATTGCTGATGAAACTTTGTATAAAGTTAAGGTTTATGGTCTTAACATTTTTAAACATTAAGAATGTTATTTCTATAAAAAGTGGTTTAATTATAAAAATTTATAGCAATTATAAATTCAAACTACGTTCTCGTTATAATAATAATTTTATTCAGATCATAAAATGTTAAATATGTGAAGTTTACTCAACAATACATATGATTAAAAAATACGTTAAAATATGTCATTACACATTTCAGTTATCAGTCTTGTTAATTATAAGGTGAGACTTCTAAATACATGACAAAATAATTTATTATTCAATTCTAATATTAATTTTGAACAATATAAATATTCGCAGCTTTTGAATGCAATTCAATATTTAGCTTAAATACAATTCTCGATCACATATAAATCAAACTATATGTGTGAATATATTCAAGGTAAATTATCTAAGACTAGATGTTAGTTATTTTAATCCAAATTAATTATAGATACATATTCAACAAGCTTTTGGTTGGAGCTCCCTTCAATAATTTTCAAACAAAAGGTATATGAAAAATATTTAATACATAGTTCCTACTTGTGCCAATAATATTTTAATAAATATTAAGAATAACTTAGTAAAAAATGAAGTCGTTTTCAATTTCATACACATTTTGTTTTTTGCTCCGATACGTTGAGCTGCTTGTATAAAGTTCTTTTTTTTTTTATAAGGCAGGGCTTCTGAATTTTTATATTCAAAATAAAGTAATAATATTTATAGCTTTGATCTTTCATTGCAAATTATTATAAAAGCCGATTGCAATTAAAAAATATAAATAACAAATATATAAAAAAATAACAAGTATATAAAGGCTTTAATTAGTTTTTTGAATTGATATTTTCTAGATTTTTATATTATGAAAGTTTGATTTACTATAAGACTTATTTTATTATATGTTTTGTGAATAGCTATTGGGATTTTAATTTTCTGAACTATGATAAACATCTTTGGCTCGGGATATTTACAAATACAATTTATGAGAAGTCTTTAATTTCAAAGGTAAAAGATAAGGAAATTCTTTCAATTTTCAAATATTTAAAAAAAGAATAAATATATAAAAAAATGCTTTTTGTTTAAAGTCCCTGATGAAGGACATTCCATATCCCCAAAAGTAAAATAACATAATGGAAACAAATACATAATTTTTTGATGAAAAAGGAATTTTTGCCAAAAAAAAAAAATTAATTTTTTCATTTATTTCATTATACGTTTTGAGGATATGGGTCTTCACCTTCTTCAGAAATTATTAATAACAAGCTTTTTTATTTATTTATGCACTGTTTTAATTATTTGAAAGTTTAAGTAGTTTATTTAATATTTAACTGTGAAATTAAAGACTTCTCCAAAAATTATTTTTGAAAATAGGTCGAGCAATAGATGTTCACTATAGTTTTGAACTAAATATATACTGAAACAAAAAAAAAATTTGGGGAGGAAAAAGGAGACTTCTAATTCAAATAATTAAAACCATAATATATTTGCATACTCATTCGTTAATATCATTTTCAATTATGATTTTTCTCATAATATATATATATATATATATATATATAAAGTTATATAAAATATATATTGATATAAAAATATTAATATATCTTTATATATAATGTTATATACGTATTACTTAAGTACAGGCACTTATTGCAATAATTGTGAAAAAGCAGAATCAATATTGATTCGTTGTGTCCATTAACTATCGATACTATAGTAACTATTTTTTATTTTACTCCTTTGCAAATTAATATAAGAACGAAGTGGGATATTCACTAGTTCAAATTTTTTTTCTAGGTGCATGGAAGTAAATTTTTACAACTAGCCCACTAAGCAAAAAGCGTGAGTATTAATAGTAATAAAAAATGCAAACATTTTATTACAAAGGGGCGCCGTAAATTATCTTTATTCAAAATCAACATATAATCATCTAAAACCATGTTTCGTCTATATTTTAAATCGATCGTTCGCGATATACTACTGCTGTTGTATAAAGCGCTTGTGGGTAACTTGGGTCACTTTAGTTGTTTTATGAAATATCTTATTATAATTTCATAAATTCGACGATGAAAGTATTTTTGCTTCCGATACAAAAAGTCGTCGTCGCTGTTTCTTCGTCAATGATGAGCATCAGAGTGTTAGTCTCTTGACGCCGCATTCGACGCAAAACTTGGCCGCTTCCAGGGGAAATTTGCTGCCACATTCGTGGCAGAATTTGCTCATTCGAATACCTGATGGAATAAATAAATATAATTATAATTGAATAATTAATATTAAGAAATAATGTTGATATAAGCAATGAAAAAGCACTGAGAAGAGTGGGCAAAGATAGAACTTTATTGAACAACATCCTTGAAAGAAAATTGGATCGAATCCATTCTGCAAAATAGTTTCTCCTGCACGACGTCGTCGAATAGTCCAGTCATAATAATAATGTGGTATTAACACCTCTCATATGTAGGTTTCGAGACAACTTTAGGGTGTCAATATACGAGTATTTACAGACTTATAGCTGGGTATCTCGAATTCCGAGATTCTTATCTAATTTAAGCTTAAATGACTGGACTAGAAGGTAAAATAAAAAGACCAAAAGGATTGGGAAGAAGAATAATGCAGATGATTGAAGACTGATGCGAAGACAAAATACTGGGAACTGAAACATGAAGCACAGGACCAGCAAGCAAGGAAGCATAAATTTGTAAGGAAAAATGTATAAAAATGTGAATGATAGTAATACAATGGTAATGGGAATAATAAACAAGAAAGGTAAAGCAAATCATTAATTTGTGATGCTCTCACACCATAGATTTGCCTTCGGGTAGACTACTATCTATTATTATTATCAAGTATGTCTTATTACTGATGATATTTGTTATTATAAATCATTTAGTTTACCTGTTGAGATAACATCTGCATGGCCTGCAGTAGACTTTTTATCTTTATGTTGTCTACCAATTGAAGGATTCGCCAGATTAGTACTTCGGCTAGATGTCTGGTGACCTAAATTATAAATAAAATGTAATTTATTTTACATATTGTGCTTTATTCGAATATATAAAAGTTCAATTTGGTTGTCCGGAGAGATGTTCATAGATTTTGTCTAAAAATTGTTATCTATAAATTTCTGTTGTTGGACTTTGAAATTATTCGAATAGTTTAACTTGATAATGAATAAAATGTGTGATATTTGGACGCAATATTTCTCTAAAAATGATTTTCCCATAAAATATTGAACTCTTTTTGAAAGTTCAAAATAATTGAAGATGTGAGTTAGGAATTGCTTTAACTATTTCGTTAAACAATTTTTGGATTTTATGATACTTACCACTACGATCTGTTCGATCTGTATCTAATGGCGAGGCAAAACCTTGTGCATCCAAATTAAGTTTATTTAAAGTTATACAAAGGGAATCTCCACTTGTTGAGGATAAAGCGTCGTCGTTGTTGATTAATCTGCAATATTTAAATTGGAATTTATATTTAATTTAGCACGACTGAATTTATTACAATAAATAATTTGCCATCACAATGCAGATTTTAAATCAATTTTAGTTACCTATGTTTTGGTGAGCTGTTCATGCTTGAATTTCGAGAAAGTGCTTGACGCGAATTCACCGAATTTTGCATATAGTTCGCATTTTGTTGCTGCGATAATCTGCCGCTACAGTCACCTCTATCTGAAAAGGTAAAAAAGTGATCAAATTAATTGATGAGTTACTTTGAACAGAACACAAGTAAAAGTATTTAAGATCATAATCACAATATAGTTTGCCTTAAATTGCTTACCAGATGTTTCCACTTGTTGGTGAGCCGGGTAGGATTCTTTAGCTCCTTTCGAGTTTTTGCCGGTTGAAAGCTGCTTTCCCGGAGAACTTCTGCTTAAACTGAAGGTAAAAATGTTTATTGGTAAAAAATCATTTCGAAATAACGAAAATACAAAACCTGGTTGTAGTACATTTAGTAATCTAGTAAAACGATTATTTTTTAACTTTCTAAAGACGGATGAAATTTAGGCTATTATGGTAACAAAATTGGATAAATATGTGTATTAGAGAAGGTAGATTTTTATGAGTCAAAAAAAGTCGCTTAGCCACATATGATTTTCGGATACTAGAGATCAAAATAAAATACTTTTCTGAAGAAACCATACCTCTAAAATAAATTCTGATGTCCCGTGCATTGACTCAAACACCATTCGAAAATTTTGATTATATACACATATCGAGAAGTTTTTGCTTAAGAATAAGAATATTCAGATATATAACGATATTCAACTCATCTTCTTTTCTCTATGGCTTATTTATACTCATATTTACTTATACTTATATTTATTATATTTAATTAGTAATATATTACTTAATTTTAACAAATTGAACATAATGTTCTGTTTATTTTTATACTCTTCTTTTATCTATGTTTATACTCTTCTTTTAGCTATGGCAATACCCATATAATAAAATCTCAAAAGGTATTGGAAGTAATTTACATAATTGATTATTGATAACTAATTGATTAATAATTATTTCTTTAAAATCATTTAATTAATAATATATTAATTTATTTTAACAAATTGAACATAATGCTCTGTTTATTTTTAAATCTGCACCAGTATCCATCCCTATCACAACATCAGTGACATATCCGTCAGTTGTATAATCCATGACCAAAACCATGCGAAAACTATTGAAATGACATCAGTTGTGTTATAATACAGAACGGGTAATGTGTTTTTCCTCCCGAAATTTCGTATTACATTTATAGTCGATCTTTGAGTGTTAAAAAAGTTTAGTGAATTCGTAACGCGATTGTGCAGTACCAAGTGGTCTGCGCAATAATAATTGGTGAGTTATTAATTACATACGTTTTATTTGGGATTTCAGTAAAGCATGAGTATTCAACAATTGGTCTGGTATAGCAATAACAATGGCGGCGTAAGGTATCGGCGACTCAGTCTAGGGCTCCTGTTGCTCCCGGAAGCCCCAAAATTTTAATATTTTGATTAGCAGTAAATTTCATTTACTCATATATTAGACTACCTACAACTAGGCTTGTGAAATTTAGCTTTTTGGGCTGAGAGAAAGAAAGAACCCGCCCAATTTTGTCGCCGCCTACTCGTCTAGGGCAGCCATTTGCAATTTGGCAGTCAATGATCGTGGAAAAGAAATAAACATTTTATATGTGATTTTGTATCACTAGTAGATATATTTGACTAGACTTATAGAATATATTGCCAAAAAACGTTACATTAAAATAATTTTACTTAACATGCTAGCCTTGGTTTCCAACTTGTGGGGCTCGTTCCTTCAGGGGGGCGCAAAGGTATTACGTGGAAGGCATACAGGTGTTTTCAAAACACTATTATCGCGAATAAACCAAAAATGTTGAAATGATATCAAACTAGTCGTAAGTGGCATTTGGCCTTAAGGCAAGTTGTTGCTCCCGGAAGCCCCGAAATTTATTTTATTATGACATTATTTTGATCAGCAGCAAATTTTATTTACTCATATATTAGTCTACCTACAACTAGGCTTGTGTAATTTAGGTTTTTTCGGCTGAGAAAAAGAAAGGCCCCGCGAAGCCCAATTTCGCCATTGCACATTCGTCTAGGGCAGCCATTGGCGAATTGGCAGTATGTCATTGAGGATCGTGGAAAAGAAATAAACATTTCATATATGATTTTGTATCACTTGTAGATAGATTTGACTAGACATATATAATAGATTGCCAAAAAACTTTACATTAAAATATTTTTACTTAACATGGTTTCCAACCTGTGGGGCGCGCTTCTTCAGGGGGGCGCCAAGCTATTAGAAGGAGGGCGTACAGATGTTTTCAAAACACTACTTTCGAAATTAAACTAAAAACGTTGAAGTGATATTAAACTAGTTGCAAGTGGCATTTTTCCTTAAGGAAAGTTGCATGAACTTTTCTATTTAGATAAAATGTTCAAACTGTTTATTTTGAAAATAAAGATTTCGCTTTCATTAAATACTATTTTCAATTGATATTTTTGATTTTGTATTATATCTGTATTTTTTTATCACATTTCATTTAATCTATTTTGGGTTTTAAAAATTTAAGTGTGGACGTAAACTGTAATCAGTGGCTAAACACCGTCGAACGTACAAATTCGGCACAGATTATGTTTAATATCATTCAAGCTTATGGTGAAATTGTAAACTTTGATGAATTTTTATAATTCAACCGTTTATCGTAGGCCTATAATATTTTAGTATGTTATTTCAGATTATTAAATCTGTCGTTATACAAAGTTTCATCAGAATCATCAAATAAATTTTTTCATCATTTGATTTCAACGAAGAAATGGCTCGACCGAAAAACTAGTGGGGTGCATGGCATCGTGCCTTAAGGCAAATTGCTAGAACTTCCCGTACCGTAATTAAAAATCTTGGTACGGAACCCAAAAAAAATACACAAAATGTGTACATATTATTAAAATCTCTATAAAATATCTGATAATTTGGTGTACATATGTGCAATAAACATTTTTGACCGCCAAATGTCATTTTTTTAACTTATTTTTAATGAGAGTCCATTACCGCTGGACCTGCCTTCCCAAAAATTTAGTCTTAAAAACTGAGTTACCGTTTTTCGCACTTTTTGCCCCGTATCTTTGGAACGGCTAGACCTGCCTTCGCCAAAAACTAATCAGCACGTCTCCTTATCAATACGAATCGAATGTTTTTTTGAATTATTCAAATCGGTTGATCTGTGTTCCCGAAATCGTCGACGAAAATTTGTATCCGCACATACACACACACATATATACACATACTCACATACACATACTCACTCACACACACGCACACACATACATTTTTTCTAAAGTATGCCAAAATATTCAAAAACCTCTAAAACTTAGAGATATATAAAAATTTTCATTTTAGATTTTTTTGTGATCACTATAATTTACCCTGCGGGTAGTTAACTACACTTTCAACGAATACCGAATGTTCGGCATGCCCCGGAGACCGAATACCGAATATTTGCAATTTTCATATTACATGTTTATTCAAGTTTTATACCTAGGCCTGCAACTAATATTCGTTACTCTTTGTTATTTAGAATATTTGTCACCATTTTATACTATTCAGCCGAATACCGAATACTTAAATAACATACGTGATAGGGAAATAAATGCCACATCATGAAAAAAGCGATTCTTTACATATATGTAAATGTATTTCCAATTATTTCTTTCATAAACGTTTATTTATTTTTTATATTTATTATTTATTTATTATTTATTTATTTATTAATTATTATTTCTTATATATTAGGAATGCTAAACATAATAAAATAAATAAAAACTAATCAAAAATATTATTCGTAATTTTTGCGATAAAGTGTCTATATCTCTTTATTTAGAAATGCTTAGATTGAATATAATGAATGACTTTATTGAATATAGATAATGCAACACATGCGTGTACCCATTGAATGATTATTATTAAATTACATAAACATTTAACAATAACGTGTCATTTGATTATTGAGAAAATAGTTCTTCGCGTGTTCGCTTCTAATCTCAAAAGTCGATAAAGTTTGAATTGTTATATATACAATAACGAATTAATTTTTTCTTATCATATTCTGTAAACTAAAGACTTCTAAACATACAGATCCATCGCAAGCTCTTTATCGCATAAAAGATAAAACACACTAAACTAAAAGATACACTTTCGCTGAGCGGCGGCGGTGGCTCCTTTTAAATATTCGGTATTCGGCCGAATAGTTAGTTACTATTCCGAAGGCTTAAAAAAGGTGCGGAATATGCCGAATACCGAATAGTAACCGAATATTCGGTACAATCCTACTAATCAACGCGATTTCCACCAAATTTCAGAGGTTTCTGAACATTTTGGCATGCCTTAGAAAAAAATGAATGTATGTGTGTGCGGATACAAATTTTCGTAGACGATTTTGCAAACACGGTTCAACCGATTTGGATAATTCGAAACATTAGATTGCTACTGATGAGGAGACGTGTTGATAGTTTTTGGCAAAAGCAGGTGTAGCCGTTTCGGAGAAACGGGGCAAAAAGTGCCAAAAATGGTATTTCAGTTTTTTAGATAACGGAGCATCCGATTTAAATAATTCAAAAAACATTTTACTTGTATTGATGAAATGAACTGGTAACATTTTTGTGAAGGCAGGTCCAGAGTCTCCGGAAATCCAATAAAAAAAGTAAAAAATAATGCCATTTGGCGGTCAAAAATGAATATTAGAGATATGTACAGCGTATTATCAGATATTTTATAAAGATTATAATAAAGTGCTAATTTTGTGTATATTTATATGGGTTACGTACCAATGTTTACACGTTAGATGACTACGCGGCGCTTACGCGCTTTGATATTTCGCCACGAAATTCTGTTATGCAGCGCGATTGCTCAAAAGAAATGTTCAAAATAAAAAAAATCAAAATACAAAATAAATTAAAATATAAAAAACAAATTCTTCAAGTCTTTTTTTTTTCAAAAATTTTAAAATTTCTTAAAAATCTAATTTTTTCAAAGTTTTGCAAAGTTTTTTTTAATAATTTAGTTTTTGGTACGGGAAGTTCCAGCAATTTGCCTTAAGGTACGATGTCATGCACCACTAGTTTTATTTAATTTAATTATAAAAAAACCTTTTGACATACCTTAAAAAAAATGGATGTACGTGTGTGTGTATATGTGTGTGTTTTTCTTCTTTATATTCTGCAAAGAGCTTTTTATATAAATCGCCTAGGTTGGACATTTTCACTACTTTTCACTACTAATTTTTATGTTCGACCGTACTGCTCATTGAACACTGATGAATAAAAGTGAGAGATTTCTTTTACAATCGTTCCCGAGAATCTTTCTGTGCTTCCCCGGGATTTTCGATAAGCGATAGCGTTATTCCCCACAGCTGCTTGGCAGTCGAAGGGAATATTACGTATGTAGTAGTTCAGTTATTAAAACAACTTGCACATGGTGGCTTTCTTTCATATTACACATCAATATCGGCTTACGTTGACGAAAAAATAATTACACGTGATTTTGAACTATGTCTTCCCCCTTATATATTCCCCCCTTATATTTAATGATTTTTTTTTCAATTGTAATGACGGCATGAACGATGCATAAATTTTTGGGAAAGCAGGTCAAGCGGTTACAAAATTTTGAAAAAAAAAATCAGATTTTTCAAAAACATCAAAGAATTCAAAATAGCAGTTCAATTTCAAAATGTTCAAAAATCTATTTTTTTCAGTTTTCAAAAAAAATTAAAGTTTTTTTGAATATTTAATTTTCAGTAAGGAAAGTTACAGTATTGTGCCTTAAGGCACGATGCATGCACCACTATTTATTAGAAAAATGCATTTATGTATGGATGTGTGTGTGTGTTTTTTTGTAAAGCGAAGTAAATGCATTTATGCATCCCAGACTGGTATTTTGTCTGATATAATACCGACTAAAGCTTCCGCTTTGCCCTTCCCTCTGGTCCACACGGAAACCGCCGTGAGACATTAATGCGTGGGGAGAGGATATAGAATGTTACCATTCTTACACTGATTTTATACTCATCTTTTAAATGGGCGAAGTCCCATACGCTCTTTCTCTTTCCATGTGTGTGTTAGTGATTGTGCGCGTATGTGCGGTTACAAAGTTTCGTCGACGATTTCGAGTGCATGGATCAACCGATTTGAATGATTCAAAAAACATTCGACTTATATCGAAGGAAGACGATCTGATTAGTTTTTGGGAAGGGCAGGTCGAGCCGTTCCGAAGATACGGGGTAAAAAGTGCCAAACTGGTTATTCAGTTTTTGAGATAACGGAGCGTTCGATTTGAACAATAAAAAAAATCATTTTTATTGATGGAATTGAGAATTGATTAAATTTTGTGTGAAGGCAGGTCAAGCGAATTCAGAGAACCAGAAAAAAGGTTGAAAAAATTATCAGATATTTTAGAGAGATATTAATAAGTATAAATTTTGATTCCAATTTTTTGGATACCGTACCATGACGTTTAAAGTTCACTTATATAGTTCAAACAAATTTATTCGCCATTGTCGACACTATGAATCAACCAACTCGAATGGGTTTCAAAATTTTCGAAAGTTTGATTCAAAAGTTCATTCTTTTCAAAATTTTCAAAAACTTCAAGTTTTTCAAAAAAATCGATTTTTTTCGAGACAATCAAAAATTTTCATCACAAATGTCCAAAAAAAATTATCTTCAAAATTCTCAAAAAAAATTAACTTTTTCAAAATTTCAAATTACGGTACGGGAAGTTCTAGCAATTTGCCTTAAGGTACGTAGTCATGCATGACTAGTTTCTTTTATCAATCGTACCTGCCGTAGGCGCTATCTGCGCTAACATTTTTCTTGGTGTTGCTGCTCCCGTTGGAGGAGGGGGCTGCGCTACGTCTCGCCGGTGAGGCGTCGCCGCATATTTCGCCGTCGTAACTAGTCGTGTCATTTGACAAATCCGTTGCACCATCACCAGTTCGAGAATAGTGCCTCTATAGTTATATAATTAATTAATAAAAAATACTGATACAAAAATTGATGATTAATTAAGACTCTTATTGTTAACTTGTGAAGCAATACACCGCAGTGTACTGATATAAATTGATATCGTCATAAAATTAAATATGATTTTTTTTTCTAATTTTTCTTTTTCATTTTAGGCGTACCTTGTCGTGCGATAATTCTCTCTTCTGCTGATGGTGTTTGCTCGTTCCGAGTTTTTGCCCTCTGTGTCTCGACGCCGCTGACGAGTCGCTATCATTTCGGGACATAGGATTATAATCACAGGACATAGGATCAAAATCATTAAAAGGTAAGTCATTTAGTAAGCAAGGAGAAGGAGAATAACTATAAGGCGTAATGTCATTGTTTATGTAATTAATTTCGTCGTCTAACGTTTTCTCTGATTCACTGTCATTTGAAGAATTTACAACAATGTCATTTGGTAATAAAGGAGTCGCGTTATTATAGCAATTTTTTATTGGAGAAGATCGTCCTGAAACGCTCTCCGAATTTTTCTTCGATGCATTTTTAGTTGAGCTGTTTTTCTTGTTCGGGGACGATCTTCCTGAATGATTTGACTTGTGAGGACTCGGCGTGTTTCTATCCGATTTATTATATACAGGTGAACCATTTCTTGATTTTTTATTTGCTACAGGATTTTTAGTTGGAGACGATCTTCCTGAACTAAAATCTATCGTAATATTTCTAATTCTTTCGGGACTTGGAGTATTTCTCAAGCTACTAGTTAAGTTATAACTTGGAGAACTGGTTCTGGATAGTTTCTCAAAATCATCAAAATTTTTTGTCGGTGATAATCTGCTATAAAAATTTTCAGAAATATTTTTCAATCGTTGCGGACTCGGCGAATTTCTTAAAAAATCAACATGCGACTGTTTTACATCCCGATCTGTTGAAAAACCGCTGTCTGCATCAAAACTTGCTGAAAATACTTGATATTCTTCTTGCGGGAATATGGATTTAGCGGTTTCAATATCACATGATGCGAATAACATTTCATGTCTTGTTTTTTTAGATAATCTTTTTCGGTCCAATGATTTTTTGCTTCCGCTTATAGGAGATGAGCTGCCAAAAAGGTCATCTTGATTATGTTTAGATGTCGCTAGATTTCCATCTAAAATCTCGGTCAAATCAAATTTTTCTAAATCAATTCTTTTGCTTCGGTTCAATCTCGGTGAACTGTCTGTACTTCGCGAGATACCAAAATTGGCTAAAAGTCCATCCGCTTCTGCAGATACTTCCATTGATTTGACTAAACCATTTTCTTGATCATTGGTTATGCTATCTTGTCTCTTAGTACGAATTATTGGCGGTTCATCTGCACAGTAACTTTCAGCCAATAGTTCAGCTTCAAGGAATTCATCCATAGTTTTGCTGTAGCCATTTTCTTTTCTACTGATAGTTGGTTCTTTCTGTTTTGCACGAAGATTTGGTAAATTGTTGCTACAATTTTCTTTTCCTGCACTTTTTGTAGATGAACGTTGATGGATTTTATCTACATTATTATTTTGATTCCGAAAGAGTTTATCAATATTATGTTCTGCCTTATTTTGGAAACTGTAATTGTCGTTAACTTCAAAATCATCCAGATTTTCCATCATACTTTCATAAGTTTCAAAAGTGTCATCTGATGAATTATCAGACGCTGCCGTTGAAAATCCATCTCTATCGTTTATCAAAACTGGATCTATATAGAAATCTTCCTCATATCCGGAATGCTGCATTTCATCTACTTTAGGCTTTTTTTGCTCATGAAGATAAAATCCTTGTTTTGATTCATGCTTCTTACTATTTTGTTTACTATGTTTTGTATCTTTACTATCAGTTGCTTTCTTATGATCTGTACCAATTATAGAACTCAGACTTAAGCAATCAGCTTTAGAGTTTTTATTGGATTTGGTAGACTTTTCCGAAGAAGCGTCACAAAACGTCTTTTCGCTTTCTGTAGCGTCTGGTGTGTACAGTTCTATCATCTGCATTTGGGCAGATATGAACGGGTCATACCCATAGTTTGGAGTTTGGGCATTGCTTTGATCGTAATAGAAATTATTTGTATTTGCAGATTGTTGTTGCAAATTCTTCAAGTCTGTCGAAGTCGTGTGATCAAAATTTAGTTTTAAATTAACGGTAGACGGTTTCATTTGATCGCGTTTGGGTTTTTGGGAGGGATTTGGGTTACGACGGATTGACGGTTGTCTTCTACAAATTAATTATTTAAATAGATGAATTATCTATTTAAAAACCATGGTTAAGAATATTTAGAATTGACAGATATACTATTATCTCAAAAGAATTAAAAGTAATTATTTTTTATGTTAATTTCCAAAATTCTAAAATATAAATAAGCTTTAATACTGGCTCAAAATAGATTAATATTTAATTAAATCTGGTAGAATTATGAATTTAGTTATTAGACAAATTTCTCTCAATTCTTTTGAAAATCTCATGATGGTTCTATGTTGCTTTTCAACATGACGACATAAATCTTATCAGTATATTATATATAATTAAATACAATGCGATTTTTAAATAAAACCTGTGTCTGGGCATCTGCAAACCTCTGCATCTTGGGCTTCCACTACCGCTGTCATTCATTGCAGCACCAGCAGACAAATTTGAAGCCAACGCTAAATTGCCGTTCCCATTAACAGTCGCACTAGGTATTCTTTTTGGCATCATCGAAGGGCGGCTGATCGCATTGCCATTATTTATCCCTATACTTGGCAAAGTCAACGTATCGCTAGATTTCTGAGGCAAATTCCTCACGTAACTATTAGGAAAATCGCCATTGTTGCTATCGTTTAATTTGAATGTGCGTCTTGCCAATTTTTGTGGCAAACGTTTGTATGAAATATTTGATTGTTCAGTAGTTGCATCGTTATTGTAAACCATACAGTCATCTCCTTCCATGTTGTCCAGCAAATTGGGCAAGGCTGTGTCACCACATTCTCTTACGGGGGTGACGTCGCGATCCATAGAGTTAGCAAAGTGACGTGATTTTTTCGTTTTCTTCGGCGGTCTACGCGTTAGATTGGTCGAGTCGCCATTTGGTACGTTTTGATTCAGATTTCTCGTGTGTATATTTGGATCAAGTCCTGCTATCGGTTGGCGATTTGGTGGGTCACTTGCTTTTATGATTTCTGGTAATAAACATTTTCTGGATGAACACGAATTGTTCAGAGGGCCATCTGGAGAATAAAATATCATGATGAGTAAGTATCGATGTCCTATTCTATAAAACAACAAAAACGTACGATAATTGATAACGAATTATAATGTACATATACTGCTAAAATGACAAATTAACTATTTAAAGTTGTTCAAACTCGCCATACTTAAATTCATGTAAAATATATTATTTAATACCTGTATAGTTTTTATTAGAATCTTCATTATCTGTATACATCGATTCATCGAGACCATTTGTTCTCCTGATATCATCATCTGTCATGTTTCTCATTCCATCCAAATTCATATTGGGTGATCCCGTCAATCTTCGACAATCTCCAATTGTATTTCTGACAACGTCAAGAGATCTATTATTGCATGGAACTGGGCAATGTCGTCTACCTAAATCTGGTTGTCTCTGTTGAGGAGATTGCTGTTCTTGAGGGGTTGACATAGCTGCAATTTCGCAGGCGTGTTTGAGGTAAGCGTCGTCGACAATAATATCTTCTTCCTCGTCTTCATCTATTAAGCCCTCCTGATCGCTCTTTTCGGGAGACGTGGAACGGGCATCATATTTTGGTGAAACGAAAAGGGTTTCAAGGGGCTCACTTGCCTGAGATAGGAAGGAAAGAAAGTTAGTGACATTTCCTTCCAAAAAGATTTGATTATTACGAATTTGTGTTATGAGAATAAAAATCAATGTCATATATCAAGAATTTTTACTAAATAGTATTTGCATTGTAAAAATATATGAAAACTTTTAATTAGAATTAAAAGTTTAAATCAACATTTTATTACATGGAAGGAATGTAAAATAGATAAAAACAAACCTGTGTCTCGTTACAACTATCATCACCATCCCTTTCTTCATCTAATTCTACATCAACGTTATTGCAATTATCTAACTCCCGTAACAATCTTGCGCTCTCGCAACCAACTTCCATAATGTCATCATATATTTGTCCATCAACATCCATTTCTTTTTCCAAAGATCTGGCATTTATAATCGCATCGTCTATCTCTTGCTGCTCTTCTTGTTGCATCAGCTGCTGGTCTTGCCCTTCGCAATCGTCTCGAACTGTGTCATCATCGTCGTCTGCCGCCTCGGTTTCAGTCTCACTTTCCGAGATAGCTCGTTGGACACGGGCTCCCAGAGCTGCTTCACAATCGCTTACTTCTAACATTTGATCGCCTACAGAGAAAAAGATATTTATGAGTGGTATAACTTCACGCATGCTAATCTTCCTCGGGCTACAAAAATACTCTACCGATTATGATCAAACTTGTTCAATAATATGCAATTTGGACTATCTTAAAAGATATAATAGTTTAACATCGGCAACAGTTAAATATAGTTTATATAGTTAAAAGTTAAGTCACCGAGCGATTTCGTTTCGCAGAAGATTTTCGTTTTTATTTCAAAAGTTTACCTGAGACGAGCAGCATTCTACTGTTATCTCTGATAACATTTTCTTCGCTTATTTTGTCCAAGTCTAAACTGAATTCAGTGGAGTTAAGACGGAATCGGGAGCGCTTTGGTGGACTGCAGCCAGATTCTTCAGGACTTATCTGGCCACCTACATTGATTATAATGTTTGTTTGTATATGAATGGATTTTAAATTCTAACACATTAATTAATATTATTTCATGAAAATTAATCATAACTTCATAACAGTCATTCAATCTGATCTAATTAATTTGCTTTCACCGTTGGCTGATATTTACAATTTTATAGTTTTTGAAAAGAATATTTAGTTGAGTAACTCTTCTTTTTCAACAAACATTATTTGCATTAATGCAAGCAATATTTAAAATAAGTAACTGTAATATTTTTTATATAAATAGATACATTTCACAATTTACCTTCATTATGCATGTTTCTTCCTCCGAAGTAATTCTGCGCATGTCCGTCTTGAGTTCTTGCTCTTAAAAATCTCGCTAAAGACTCTTCATCAGTCACCTCTTCTTCGACTTCTTCGCATGTCAAAATCCTGATGGCTTCTGGACCCACTATAGCTTCACAGTCTTCATCACTTGTCAGTAGAGATCTGTCGCTTGGAGTTTCCTCGTTTGTGGCGTCGTCAAAATTAGCATGGTCAAAATGAGTTTCAATTGTGATAGTTTTATTTAATTGACTATTATAATCTATAACGGAATCTGATAAATTAATTTCTTTGTCATCGGTTTCTTGGTATATTTGATCATTCTCAACGAATTTGGCAGATGATGATACTGTTTTTCGTAAGTCATCACCCGCTATAATGATTACATTTTCTATATATTCAGACTGAATCATATGTTGCTCGAAATTTTCATCAGAATTATTATAACTTTTGCTTGTAGTGGGATATGATGACATATCTATTGTTTTATGTTCTTCGTTGTTTGGAATACTGCTCTGGTTATCCCTTTGAAGTAAAAGTGAAGACAAGCTAGCAACTGCTGTTGTATCATCACCGCACACGGATGGTCTTGACGAACTTCTAGGCACAGTAGAAGTTGCCGAATTATCCGAATTGCTATTAAGAGTGGAATAGGTTGTAGTGGTCGTATTACTTGTATTTGGACCATAGTTTGTTGACGCCATACAACTATCACTCATCACAGTGACTGGATCAATTGGAATTTGAAATTTTTGCGAATAAATGTTTCCACGATTTGGACTTCTTCTTGCAAAAATTTTTGGTCTTTGTGATTGTTGTGATTGTTGTTGTTGGTGCTGTTGCTGCTGCTGTTGTTGCTGTTGCTGCTGTTGTTGGAGTTGCAGTTGTGACTGCTGCTGTTGCTGTTGAATTATCTTTTGCTGTGTCAATAATTGCTGATTCATTATTTGCTGATTCATTAATTGCTGTTGCTGCTGTTGTATCAACATCTGCTGTTGATGTTGTGTTGGCTGTTGATGCTGAACAAACTGCTGGTGCTGAGCTATATGCTGATACTGTGCTATCTGGTCATGCTGAACTATCTGGTCATGCTGAACTATCTGGTCATGCTGAACTATTTGCTCATGCTGAACTATCTGCTCATGCTGAACTATCTGCTCATGCTGAGCTAATTGCTGATGCTGCGCTAATTGCTGATGCTGCGCTAATTGCTGATGCTGCGCTAACTGCTGATTCTGAGCTAAATGCTGATTCTGAGCTAAATGCTGGTGCTGAATTAAATGTTGATGCTGTGCATTCTGCTGATGATGTGCATTCTGGTGATTATGTGCATTCTGATGATGCTGCACATTCTGCTGATGTGCATTCGGGTGATGTTGCGCATTCTGCATATGATGTACATTTTGCTGATGATGTGCATTCTGCTGATGATGTGCATTCTGCTGATGATGTGCATTTTGCTGATGATGCGCATTCTGTTGGTGCAGCGCATTCTGCTGATATTGGGCATTTTGCTGGTGCTGAGCTGTCTGTTGTTGTTGTAGTTGCAAAAGTTCTTGTTGTTGCAAAGCATTTTGTTGTTTTTGACGCACTGGACTTTGCTTAGCGTTGTTGCGTGTATTATTACGTTGGGGATTAATAATTTGTTGATGCACGATTTGCTGGTGTTGAAGATATATTTGTTGTTGTTGCTGCTGAATTTCCTGTTGTTGCTGCTGCTGACCGTCAACAGTATCACGCCACGTCATCAGCTTGTTATTCGAGTTTTGCATCGATATTATGTTACTAGGTTCTTGCTGTCTATGTGGACTCGAATTATTACTCTCTGTGTTAAAGCTTTGGTAACCACATCTAGTAACTTGTAACTCATCATTAGCGTCAAAACCATTCAATTGTTTGCCAGAATTAATATTATTCGATATTGCACTATTGATCACACTATTGTTTGCTGCACGTCTATTGACATTGCCAATAATTGGACATTTTGAATGCAGCGGCATGTCGATCAAATTTTGTTCTAGCTGTGAGCTTATTTGCTGCTGTTTCAAATTTAAATTTTGTTGCAACAAGTTTTTGGGTCTTTTTATTACAGCAGATTGTCTATTCAATCTTTGGATGTTATTTATATTTGGATTTTGATAGTTTCGATTTGCCATTGTTTCTGGCGATGATATATCATCATCGGGTAACTCGCCAGAATTGATTTTTTGGTTTGTTTTTGTGTTGTTCAAGGTATTTTTTGACAAAACGGTTTTAGTTTTGATGACTGGTTTTGTATTGTTAGATTGTAAATCTTCGTACGATTGGCAGGTTAACGATAAAGCAGCGTCTTGGTTTATATCTTTAATATTTGTGTAAGACGCGCAATCTTTTGTTAAATTGTCTTGACTGTTGGAGGTTGTGCGAATAGTTTTTTCTTGTCTTGGGGAATTTTGTACAACGGCTTTGGTGTTGCGACGACTTTTAGGCTTCTCGATAGATTTGTCACTAGCGATGTTTGCTAAAGGTTCGCTTATCAACTCCGATTCCTCAGGATCAGGGAAATATGGTGCGATGTTATTGCTCGATGGTCTTCTAGCAACCGGCGATCTGTTAATGGGCGTAGACTGCCGCGAATATATTTCTTCCTGACGGTATCGTGAGCGACGGCCGCGGGGACTGTTTTTGAATTGGTCCAGGACAGGAATCCGCACGACGGCAACACCAGGCGAGGATAGGAAAAGAGGGGAGAAAGGGACAATGAGGATATATATTTTCGGATAAAGGATTTTTGTGGTGTATGATGATTACAAACGGAAATAAGAGGAAAGCTTAGAGGCGACATGATTCTGGTATTATAGTTTTGCTTATTTCTTTCCCATTTCAGTATTTTGTAAAACTTTATATATAAATTACCCTGTTCTAAATTTATTTAATAAATTATTTATTTTGATGGAACAAAATTAGTAGAAAAATATATTTCCTCTGATCCTTTGTCCCCTCTTTACTTATTTACCCTTATTTCCGATTGAAAGAATCAACTATTTATCAAATCATGAAGGAAATGATTGGCGTAAAGATGAAAAAAGCATCAGATCTGTTCCAACACACCGAAAATACGATTAGAAAATTCTTAACACGCATTCAAGTATGTTGGCACAGAGCAAATTAATTTATGCAATTATATCGATTAGAATTGATTGAACCATCATGGGATTATATATACTTATTTTATATATTATGGAAGATTTTGGCATTCATAGATAATTTATTTCAACAATGAATTTGAATTATCATGTAATTCTGTATTAAAACCATTAAAACAATTTCTTAGTGCCATACTGCCTTTTAAAATATGTTTTTTTTTTTGTTAAATTGTTTATAATTACCTTATAGAAGACTCGTCCCCGCGACCTTTGACTCCTGTGACTGGACCTTAAAAATATTATTTATATATTAAAATTGTTGCAAATTATATATTGAATCATTTGAACATTGTAAATGTTTAATGTTTATATTTTCATTTTTTTTTCAGTTTGGCTAAATTTTGTATTTTTAAAAATAATTTTTCTCAAATTCTCAAAAATATCCCTTTATAAAGTAATGAAAATAGATACATAGAAAATTTGAAAGAATCATGAAAGACACCAAAGTTACTAGACCTTTCAATTTTTTTCAGTTTATCTAAAGTTTGTACCTACTCTCAAAAAAAACTATCCTCAAATTCTCAAAAAAACTCCGTTTGAAAAAGAACCATGAAAGACACAAACGTTACTATTTTTTTTGTAAATTTTGGCATCAAATTATGGTTGCAAGAATTAAAAAATTAGGTAATCGAAGAAAATGGATTGAATATTTATACGAACCCTATATTTATAATCACTGTTTAACATCTGTAATATATCACACAGATCAAGCTCCAGATAATCCAGATTAACTTCTGACAATTTGAAAAAAATGGAAATATTGCAGAAACATGTTATAATATAATATTCACCTGTTGCAGTTTCAGTTGGTTTGCCTTTGGCTTTCGTATCGTGCAATTTCCCAATTGACTCGTATAATGTACCACGCAAACAATAATATTTTTTTTAAACGACCGAATAAACTATCCTTGCCCTTGCCTTTTTTCAATGTTTTACCTAAGACCTCCGGATACATTCATAAATCATAAATAAGATCAATCGCCCGAAATTTTTTTTGACACTTATGATAAATTATTCAAATTTTTACTAAATTTTTTTTTTATTTACAATCGAGAAAAGAAAAATTAGTTACGTTCTTTACTGCTTTTTTATGAAATTTCGACCCTCTATTTAAACTTAAAAATTAGAAAATTATGAGCAAAAATTAAAATAAAACAAATTCACAGAAATTTTGAACCCCCGATGTCAAAACCACAAACAAAATACTAGTCCATTTGAAAAGCATTTTGTTTTTGTAAAAATGACAATGTGTGCTTGATAAAATATATTTTTAATAAAAAAAAGAATTATGATTACCTTGTGCGTTATTGTGTTTTGCGACTTCTGTCATGGACGAGGCACTTGCGCCTGAAGACCTTCTCAAAGGTCCTTGTTTGCGACCAACCTAACGCATAGTTAAAATGTTTATTTACATAAATATATATAGAAAAAAAAAATGGTTTAATTTGTGCGTTTTTGTATATACTAAAAATTTGAATTTTTGTTTTAAATTTCAAAAATGTTCCACTTTATAGAAAATTGATTGCTCACTTTGATTCGAATTGTCAAAATTTACATTATTTTCAATTTTTTTAAAAACGGTTAAATGTCACTTTACTCACAATTTTATTTTTTTCCATAATATCGGTTTGAATTTATCAGCTACAAATTTTAGCAAGTTGCCTTAAAGGGGTATTCTGGTCTAGAATTTAAAAAATAACGATTTTGTTTTTTTCTGATATTTTCAAAGTTTAACTATTCAACGATATGTGTACAAAAGGATTTATCAAAATTTAAATTTCTTTCTGGAATATAACGGATTGACTACGATAACCCTACTTTGTATCTTTTCTCTGCGAAGGTTTTTTTCGATGTGGATACCCACGATTTCTCAATTTCTACTGAACTTACTTGAATGTTTTACAGAGTATTCTTTATAGACTTTTCTTCAGTATGAACTACGCTCATGCTCAAATTCCGATATTTACTACTACAATTAATAAAAATTGAGCATATTGAAATAAGTTGTAAACAGAAATATTTTTGCTTCAGATTATTTGGAGGAGTAAAATCATGGGTATGGTCAGGTGCCAATTTTTGGAGCCTCCGAACATCTTCTATAATTAAAACTGTATGACCACTTTTATTATCTATTATTTCTTTTTGTATTTTTAAAACATTAATAACATGTAGATATTATAGTAAAAATATAATTTGCCTTTTTTTCGCATCAAATTCATGTCTGGGCTCGCCCGAAGGTAATAAGCGGTTAAGAGCGACAGGACTTGATTCAGAGGTCCCGGGTTCGATACCCACTTTGAGCAGCCTGATGTCAGGCGGCAGTGACGACGATTTTCACTTGGAAATATAGATAGCAATATGTTTCCAAGTGAAAATAGCCCTTGTGCGACATTGTTGCACCAATAAAAGTCAGCCCTATTCGATAAATTCTAATAATAGAATCATCAAATATGGATCGGTTAATCATTGGGTTACCATCTAAAAATACGAAGTAAGGAAAAGTTTCAGCCTAACAGCTCATAGGACGCAAGGTTCTGATTGCTGTTCAGGTATGAGAATAAAAAAAATTCCTCTAGACCAGTATACCTCCTCAAGACACAATGTCATACACCACTAGTTTTTGCATTACTCAATTATAATATCATAATTCAACTTACTGCAGGACTATTATTATTCACATTATTTGCCAAATTGCCGCTAGAGTTGTTCCTGTTGCTGATCGCCTTGGTGTTGCCCGATTTCGAAGTTGTTGTGGCAGTGTTGCCAGATGAATTGTTGTTACTGGCACTGTTGTGGTGGTTGTTATTGTTTCCGTGCGGGGAATTCATAATGGGACCATTATTCAAAGGTTTAATAGGAGATATATTGTTATTTTCTAAACTGTTTTGAACTGCTATGCTTCCGTTTGGCGAATACTTTTCTCTGGCTGCAGCGCGTTTTGTCTTTAAAGCTGGCACCTGGAAAATAAAATAGATTTATTGGTTATAATAATTTTTCAATCGTAAAAATTGGTCATTTCTAACATTTTCAATAACTTCAAACATTTGCTATGGTATGAAATATAATAATTTATAATTTATATAATTAATTTTTAATTGCTGAAGTAATAAACTATTACCCAACTTTTCTATGAATTGGTAGTAAAGCTATGCATTTGCTGTACGATCAGGCGTTTTACACATAAAACCTAACATTATCGTTGTTTATCAAGGGCGCATTAGAAAGATGCATTTTTGATAAAATTGTTATTTGACCATTGTGCGTTTTGTAGCTTAGGTTTTATGTGTGAAACGCCTGATCGCACAGCATTTTGATACTTTTTACTACCAATTCATACGAAAATAACACCATAACATAGCATTGCCAAAACTTTTCTATTTTATGGGAGAATTGGCTCCTGAGAAGCAGTTCAGGGAGAAGTGAAAATTATATCCAATTCTTTGGAAAACATTTTGAAAATCTCTAAAAGCTTGCAATGGTATATGACAAAAGTGAAATATAAGAAAATTTTGTGAAAATTGATACTTACGGGGCAATTCTGCCGTAACAGAGTTCAAAAACAGCGTTGTCATGCTTGTTCTTGGTATTGAAAATAATAAAATGTCTATCTATTTGCCGTGCGTTGAGACGTATTTTACATATACACCAGCAAGGGATTATCTTATGATAACTGCACCATCTAGAATTCCGTTATCATAACATTATTCTTTGCTCGTTTATATGTAAAATAGGCCTGATCGCACTGCAAATAGATATTTCATGAGCTCTAATACGGCAGAATTGCCTCCTTAAATTCACTTATTCCACATTAGGAAATCATTAATGTTTTTATTAACTATATATCACATATCTTTTGATTTATTCGTTTTGTTTCTCCTAAATAGATCTTAAGTCCTTCGATAAATATGAATAATAATGAAAAACGTGTTTTCAAAATCTTCTAGTTACCAATCAATATGCCCGATTAGAATTAGAGAAAGGTTTTAGGCCATGGAATTAAATATTTTAAATATTTCAATTATTTTGATTATTAATAAAATTTCTTCACCTTATATTTGGTTCTAGCTGCTAATCTTTCCCTAGCCGGATTAAGTTTCGCCTCTTTTTGAGTATTAGTTTTATGTTGCTTTGCGATCATTGTCTTTTCTTTACACCATTCCACGTGTCTGAAATTAAATGATATTTTAAATTATACAAATGACAAATATAACTTAAAATATTTTTTTATCAAATTTTTCGTTATTTTTAAGTACCTGAAGAAACATTAAAATAATAATTGCTAAAAGAAAAGGTTTGCTTTAGAACTTATTTGACGAATAAAATAAATTTTTGTTTTTTGTTTTAAGTATTTATTGATTATTTTGTATATCAGCTAACCCATGAAACGTTTTGATGAGTATATTAGCAATAATAAGATTTCATACTTTAAGATGAAAAATATCTGAAAAATACGGATAAAAATATACTTTATGAAAAAAATTCAGTATTTATATTGATTAAACTCTAGAATTAATTTATCACATAAATAACGAAATAGGAACAAAGGTATTATTTGATTTATTAAGTTGACAAGAATATCCTTTTATAAAATTTTTGTAAATGGTGTAGTGTTTGAGTTCTGCCTTGAAAGTATCTAATACATATGTCTAGTAATAGTAAGGATTATTTTGAGGAGCATAAATTAGATTTAGCAGAGTAGATACAGATTTCAAAAGTTTTAAATAAAGGGACCGATTTTGTTTGCTGCATAACAAATGTTATGGCAAGACCATGTTACGTTCCAACTTCCATACATTATGCTACTGAATCATACTGAATACTGTCAATATGTCATGTATTTGCTAGGTATTCAGGCGTTCTACACATAAACTGCAACGTCACTCGTATGTTATGAGGCTGGGTCAGAAAGACCCTGTTATCTAAAATCGTTTTTTTTACATTTGTGCGGTTTCTAGGTTAGGTTTTCTATCTGACAACCTGAGAAATTCGCCTGACTGCACAGCAGCAGCATGGCTTTTGTCAATATTCAGAACGAATTTGTATGGAAAGTTCTTCATAACATAGTCTTTGTCTGTTATGCGGCAGAATCGGTCCAAAAGTCTTACTTATGTCCAATTATCATCCAATTTTACTTTTAAAATTAAATTTCTTATCATTCTATCTATTCATTCATTTACCTGTCGTATGCTTTGGTACAAAAATTTCTGTCACAATAGGGACACGTATCATGCCCAGCCGGAACCCTTTTTTTGACTTGGGCGCCGCCTTGGCCGTCGGAAGTTCCTCCGCCGCCTCGGGTGGAGCTTGGTTCGCAGGAACCGCTTCTAGAGTTTCTTTTATAGGACGGCACATACGATGGATCTTCTTTCATACGTTTTTCTTCCTAATAGAAATAGAACAGAAGTATTTTGATAAATGATAGATAATAAATTTAAAAATAAAAATATTAAAATGATATTTTTAAGAGCTGCTGAATATTTTGACATACCTATTATAAAAATTGATACAGATACGCTAGGTTACTATTTTTTGCTGCCGATTGAAAAATCAAAAGCTTTGTGAGCATTGTGCTTGTGTCCATTGCTCTTTGAAAAAGCAAGTCAGTAACCAGTTTCTGAGTTACAAAATAAATTTGTCTAATTTCTCAAGCAAAGGATTTTTCTAATATAATTTTTTTCTAATTCAAATCCCTGGATATCATATATAACATAACATCTGTGCAACCCTAATGTGATGCCGAAATTTACAAAAGAATAGTAACGTTTGTGCCTTTCATAATTCTTTTTGGCACAGCTTTTTTGAGAATTTGAGGATAGTTTCTTTTAAGAGTGGGTACAAACTTTAGACAAACTGAAAGAAAATTGAAAGGTCTGACTTGAACGGAACATATCTTGAATGCTAAAAATCTGATGTCGAAAATTACCAGAAATTAGTAACTTTCGTGTTTTCCATGATTCTTTAGATAAAAATGATAACTATTATGTCTTATGCTATTCATGATATCCAGGGATTTGAATTAGAAAAATCCTTTGCTTCAACTTTCATTTTAATTTCATTAACACGACTAATTTCACAGTCGGTTGCTTTTTGGAAAAGAAAGGTGCAGCAGTTTCTGAGCTTTAGAGGATTTAGAAATTTCATTCCTTACATTATATTTTTTATTTATATCCTGCGTTATATATTTTGTGCCAATATGCAAACAAAACTTTCATTATTTAGTACCTAAGTCTTATCTATTCAATCAGTACCTACAAGACTACAAACTTGATTTATTTAATTGAGTTTTTTTTTATTCATATTTGTTTAGAATCTGCTTTTGTTAATTTTTCTATATTCACCATTATTAAGGCTTCTATAAATATCAATTTTAATGATAATTGCACAAAGTTGGGATTATTTCAAAATTTTTTAAACCCCTTTGATGATCGTTTAATATGATCAAAAATTAGTATTTAAAGAAATATTTAAGCAATGTAAAATCTTAGGAATATTTAAAAATATCGATTTTGTTTGCAGTTTTGCATCATTTTTACTAATTTTTTGTTTTTTTTTTTGCTACAAGCGTCGCCTATAGGCGCCATCTGCTTGACGACCTGTATATACAATTTTAAAGATAATTGCAAAAAGTTGGGATTATTTAAAAAATTTAACCTCTTTTTAAATCCTTTGATGATGGTTTAGTATGATTCAAATTTAGTATTTTTTAAAAAAAGTATTTTGATAAATGATAAATAATAAATTTAAAAATGAAAGTATTAAAATGACTAAATATCTTGAAAGATATCGGTTCTGTTTGCAGTTTTGTATCATTTATACTAATTTTTTGTTTGTTCATTCTTCCTACAAGCGTCACCTATAGACGCCATCTGTTTCACGACCTGTGTATACGAGTGTCGTCTATAGACACTATTTATTTAATTCATCACTTCGAATAAAATAACGTAGAATTCTAACTTGTTATTGCGGTTAAATTCATTTTTATTGATATAGATTGTATATTTTAAAATGTTTTATATCACAAATACTTGGGCGGCATTCTGGCTCGTACAGCAGTGTCACCTTTGCGAAAAATGGAAGTTCTATATGGCTCAAGCCATATTACCCTCGTTTTTACTAAATAAGCCAACTATTCGAAGAAATATGAATGAAATGGTAATCGGAATAATAAACAAGGTAGGGAAAGATAATCAATCATTTGTGGTTCTCTCACAACATGGACCTGCCTTTGGGCAGACTACTGTTTATTATTATTACATACTACTGACTTCTCGTTCTTACTAAATAAGCCTAATAACTATTTCTATATACTTTATATATGAATAAAATGGTAATGGGAATAAAAAACAAGGCAGGGAAAAAAGGTAATCATTTATTTGTGGTGCTCTCACAACATGGACCTGCCTTTAGGCAGACTACCATTTATTATTATTACATACTACTGACTAAATAAGCCAACTATTTCTACTTTATGTATGAAGAAATATGAATAAAATGGTGAAGATAATAATAAATAAAGTAAGGATAGGGAATCAATCATTTGTGGTGCTCTCACACCATGGACCTGTCTTTAGGCAGACTACCATTTATTACCATTATCATATTATTACCATTATCATATTATTACCATCAGTGCCTGTCTCGAAGCTCGAATCGTCTCCACCAATTCGAGATGCTGCTCCTTCCAGTCTCTGCGTTTGGGTTTTGGAAGATCAGAATCGTTTCTACCGCCGCCACCACCGCCGGCGCCCTTCTTTCTGGGCATATTATAACTAAAATTAATATATAATATATAGTTATTAATAAACAATCTATAACTTTAGATGCCTGCTGCAGATTGTTATTTTATCTTCAGTTATATTGAGCCCCTTATTTATTAAAGATTGAAATCAACGATTGCTTAAGGTGGTATCTCGTTATAAATTATTAATATTTTTACATATCGCGAAATTTATGCAACCAGCCTTACACCTACAGTACTTTTTTGAATAAGAAGATTGAACCATTAAAATTTACTAACGATATTTTTTTTTTCTATTTTGGTTTTCAATTATTTATGTATTTATGCGCTTATTACATGTGTGTTCAGATACAATTTTCGGATAAAGCTGAATTATAAAGATTTAATAATTGAAATTAAACTTTTTAAAAACTGAAAGTTTGCTATAAAAAAATCGAAAACAAATCTTATACTAAAATTTCAAAGAAATTAAATATATCAGTCAAAAAAGGCAAATTAAAAAAAAAAGTTTGAAATGAAATTAATCGCAAATTCTGAAACATTCAATGATACCAAAATTTAAAAATCCAACATTTTAAACTTTAATCAACACAAATTCAAACTAAAATAAAATTCACAATTTTCAGAAATTGATGAAAGTCAAAAATTTTAAGTAACACTAATAATAAAAATAAGTTAAATTAGTTTAAAACTCTTTTATCTTCTCGTAGGGAAAGTTATAGTAATAGTAGGGTAAATTTTTGCATATCTTTACGTTCATGAACATTTTAGAAAAAAATGATTTGTGTATGTGTAGTATATGTATGTTCGGATACAATTTCTACGATTTACAATGTCTACGATTTAGAGAGCACGAATCAACCGATTTAAATGATTTGAAAAAATATTCTATTCTTTTTGATAAGGAAAAGTGCTGAATTTTTTGGCAAAGACCAAAGTCGTTTCGAAGATATGGGTCAAAAAGTGCAACAAAAGGCGATTCACGTTTTTGAGAGAGCCGAACGTCCGATTTTGAATGATTCAAAAAACATTTTACTTATATGAGATAATGAAGAATTGACTAAATTTTTGTCACCAAATCACCAAATACTACATGAGTTTGGACATTTGATTTACGTGATTTTGGACATGTTTTTATCGGAGTTTTAGTATTGATGTGTCTGAAAGCTGAGAAATAATATTTGACCAAATCAATAAAAATACTAAATACATACTACCAAATTTGCTGAAATTTGGATATGTTTTCAGCAGAAAAAATGCCATTTGGCGGTCAAAAATGATCATCAGACTTATGCACATAAAATTATCAGATATTTTATGGAGATTTTAATAATAAGTACAAATTTTGTTACGATTTCTATGGGTTCTGTACCAAGATTTATAATTTTTAATGCTTTTTAAGCTGGGAAGCGGCGCTTACGCGCTTGGATTTCGTCTCTAAAACAGCTACGAAGCGCGATGGCTTCGAAAAATGTTCAAAATGTTAAAACAACTTCAAAATTTTCAAAACAATATCAAACCGTTTTTTCAAGTTTTTCAAATGTGTTCAAAAATGTTAAAACTTGTAAATTACGGTAACGAAGTTTCAGAAATTTGCTTTAAGGCACCATGTCATGCACCACTAGCTCATACATTAAATCGATTCAAAGTTCTGCACCAATTTTATGCACTAAACAAGTGATTCACCTAGTTTTTGTCATTTCAAATCTTGAAATAAGGAACTGAACTATGACAAGTGATCTTTTGTATCAGGCCCAATTTTGTTATACTTACGCCGCCAATTCGGTCCCTTCCAATCTCTGTTTGGAAGAATCGAATTGCTTCCTTTTCTTGGTGGCCATCCGTTCACAAATTCGTACATGTTTGACCAGGGTTTCTGGTAGGAACGTACGGCCGCAGACGTTGCATCCCTGCAGCTCTGCATTAGCCGGAGGATAATCTGGAAATGGGAAATAGAATTTGATTAATCTAATAAAAAGGCCTAATACTAACAAGTACTACTCAATTTGGTAAAATTTGGACATGTTTTTAGGGGCCGTTCAAGTATTACGTAAGCACTATAGGGGGGCGGGGGGGTTGTTGATTTGCTTATTTTGGGTTGATATGGGGGGCAGGGGAGTCTGGATGATGATTACGTCATAGGTAGTATTTTTATTTTTTTACTGAATGGCAACCTTACATTTTCTTTGCCAGTACCAACTATTTTAAATAAGTTTGTTATGTTAGTAAGATTATAATAATTTTGTTACTCTATGTTGAATACCATATCAGTTAAATTAATAAACATCTTAAATCTATTTTCTTATTTTTTAAATTATAATTATAACCTAATAATTACAATATTTAAAAAAACAATACATTAATTGCAAAATGTTTACGTAAGCATGGGGGTAAGGGGTAAGAGCTTTGCTTACTTTTGCTGACAAGGGGGATGGGGGGGTAAATAATTGTAATAAATCTGCTGACGTAATACTTGAACGATCCCTTATCGGGGTATTCAGTACTGATGTGTCTGAAAACTGGGAAATCAAATTTGATTAATTTAATAAAAATACCAAATTTGGTAAAATTTGGACATGTTTTTATCGGGAATTTCAGTACTGATGTCTTTTTTTTCATATATAATTCTTATAGACTATATGGTATTTTGTTTTTGGTTTTGAGAAGGATTTTTCTGTGAGAAACCTTTTTTTGTACTAATGTTAAGGCACAAACAAGATATGATTTCTATATTTTATTTCTATCTTAGGTAATAATTTGTTGTGAATAATATTTTATTTGATTTAATGCAATTTCATGTTTCATTTTGGGCACCCATCTTTACTCCCAAGTTGAATAATAATTATATATTTTGAAAGCATGTCTAAGTAGTGTATGAAATGTTTTAATTAATCCAAAGCTATTTGCTATTAAATACGTTTAGCTATAGCAGAATTTTTATCATGATTCTAATTTATTATTGCCGAAAAAGTGAAATATTGTTAACAAAATTATCGATATATATAACATTCTGTAAAATCAGTTGTATATGATAAAAATGTTTGCAGATGTGAATTGACTAATAATTCATTTTAGATCAGTGATATGTAAAATGTTTTTTTTTTTTAAACCCATTAAGTTATAAAATTACTATCACTCTATGATTAAGAAATTGTTTTTTTATGTTGAAATAGATTTCATATAGTAACAAAATAAGCATATCATTTTCGCTTTGATTATATTGTCATTTTTCTGTACAATATTTTTTTCAACAATTTTATTAATTAAAAAATCCATCATCCTCTGCTTTTCCTAAATAAATTGTTTAAGTCTTATCGAAATTATGTTTCTTGACAGATGTCCTGAAGATGGAACGCACCTAGTTCCGAAACGTCGACAGTAAATAAATAAAGAAATGTTTTTTTTTTAAAAAAAAACTTTTTTGTTTTTTTATTAATTTTTTGATTCTTTGTTCGAAGCTCTAGAAAAAAATATTTACAAATCCAAGACTCTATCATCTAATGTATATATGTATATTAGGGTGGTCCTTAATATGCACATTTTCGAATTTCCTTGCTCCCAAGGGCTCAAATGGTTCCAAATTGATAAAAAACAATTCTCTGAAAATTTTAGCTCTTAATATTGTCTTTTAGATAGAGTGCAATTCAATCAAAGTTTTGTATGGAAAAAGCATGAAAAAATTTTCAAAAATTTTGAAGAGCGTCGAATTTACAATAAAAAATGACATGAATTTTCAGTTTTAATTTATTTGTCGCAAAGATATACCTAAAAAAATTTTTTTTTCGATTTTCAAATTTTTTTCCATGCATACAAAGTTTGATTGAATTGCGCACTATTTAAACGTTAATATTAAAAGCTAAAACTTTCAGAGAATTGTTTTTTATCAATTTGGAACCATTTGAGCCCTTGGGAGCAAGGAAATTCGAAAATGTCCATATTAAGGACCACCCTAATATATATATATATATATATATATATATATATTAAGACAGCTTATTTACAAATTTTGATCATACCTATATTGTCAAATTTATATTGTCCCACGTTACTTCTCCTTTCAATTTTAACATCGTCGACACTACCACCACTTTTATTATTATTCACACCCACTTTTATTTTATTTTTTCCACTCTTTTTCATGGTACTCCCATCATCCCCTATCCTCATGAACCAATTCTTCATTTTCTCAAAATTTTTGGTTTTTCTCTTCACTGTCCCTGTGGGTTCAGCATCAGAATTGAAAGCTGTACTATCCGAATCTAAATGTGATGATGATCTAGAGGTCCTTGGAGAAGTGATAATTGTTTCTGATGAGTTTTCTTCGATCTTGTTTTCTTCGTTAGTTTCAGTTATTTTATGCTTTTTCTTCAAAGTCCAATAAGGACGCTTTTTGGGTTTGGAGGATTCATCTGATTTTGACTTTTCAAAATTTGTACTACTTTTGATGTCATCGATATTGGATTCAATCGTATTTTTATCACTCAATTGAATTTCATTTGTTTGTTTAGAATTACAAACAGATTTTAGTCCATCTGTTTCATGAACTTCTTGTGGATTTGATTCAACATTATTATCATGTTTCTCAGTGCCATTTTGTTCTCTCTGTTTGATGTCCATAGAAACACCAACCATATCACAATTAACTACTTGGTCAATATTTCTGCTAATATTTGTACTAATATTACTATTTTGTTCAGGAGTAAAACTAACATGACCGAATATTGATGATGCGTTCCTGTAAATATTTTCGTTCCTGTATCCAGAATGTTTATTATTTTGTTCACTGATATTTCCTGATTCTTCAACAGGATCACCAAATTTTGGATAATGTTGTGTGTATATTGTGTCAAATATGTTGTCATAATGTTTAATCATTTGACCTGCGTTTATTAAAGTACCATTAGTTTTGATGTCATTAGGTTTAGGTTTTTGACAGCCTAATTTTAATGCATTTTCTGCATTTGTATCTTTTGTATCAGTTTGATGACTTGAACCTATAGGTTTGTTGTCGTTTAAAATATTTAAAGAATTTTTGGGTTCTTCATCTAATGTATTTTCATTGCTAAACCCTTTACTGGCTTCGATGCACGTTCCGGAATTTCCCATTGCTATTCTTGAACTATCATAAATTACTTCTTCCTTTAATCTACTACAATGGATGGGATTTAAAGTATGTCCATCAGGAATTGAGATGTTGTTTATATTAGAACCAGTTTCTAGATGATTATCAACACTGTTTTTAGTCACTGATAAATTTTCTGCGTTCTTGTGTGTCGTCTTTAAATTTTGTTCAACTTGGAACATATTCTGAGGCACTTTACCATTTTTCAGTATGTGATTCTCGATGAAATGTTGATTACTGGCTAGAATAGCTTCTAAATCGATATCGTTGGATGAAGCAGCTACATCATCAATATATTCAATAACGCAATCATCAAATTTTGATAAACATTTTGATACATCATTAAATTTTGGTGAACTCAAAGTCAAATCAACGACCTCATGATTATTTTGCGTAGTTCGTGAAACATCCTCCTGTTTTTGTTCTGGTTCTACAAGTGATAAGATATCATTAGTTTTAGAAATGGGTTTAAAAGTTTCTAAACCGTTTGTACGGTTTTGGATGGGTTTTCGGTTTAATGATCTATTCAGAACCATTATGATTTCTTCCGAACCTATTGTGCTAGGATCAAAATTGTCTAGGGAGGTTTCCAAGAACTTTTTAGGTTGACTTTTGGGTGTTTTATTATTGATGGTTTGTTGTTTATCTTGGACGTAATAAGGAACTTCTTGTGTATCCTGGTCAAGGAATCCATAACCATTTTCATTTTCGGTTTTTGGAATTCGTTCTAGTGATAAAAACGGTTCGTGTCGGTCTCGGCTAAAATCACGGTTTCGGTTCTGGCTTTCGGCTTTTCTTCTTGTACGAGGAGTACCACAAACCACAGCTTTTGTTATAGTCGACCACATTTTATTCAATTTTATATGGATGAATAAATATTAATGGTTTAGGTACTAAAATATAAAATTAAACAAATTGTTCTATTTCCACATTTATATTCAGATCTTTAATTTAGATTTTCATAAATTACAGTGTGACGATGTTGCCATTGATGGCAAATTTCTGTCATCCATAAAATTGTCGACCACAAGTTTTTTATTAAAATGTATTCCGGTGATTATAGTTCTTTTTATAATATTTTACACGTGAACAAATGTGTTCTGTGGTGTCTCTGAATTATGTGTTACCATAAATTATGAAGTGATAATGGCATAGTTAACCACAAGTTTTCTTTTGTAACATCAAAAGAAGTAACTATGGTAGTTTTGAGCAGAAACTATAGCAACCACAGGCTCAAAAGGAAAATTATAAATGATTTTGAACGATTTTGGTTAGTTTAGATTCATTGAATAATTTTTATGCACAATTTTTTATAAACAACTTTTTTCAAAATTTAAATAACACCTTGCACTTGTATTATTATGACCAATTTTATTAATTTCAATCATAGGCAATTACATATTTATATTTGAGTTTGTTGAAGCTTTCGACTTCAATTATTACATATTTTTAAATAATTTTTTGTATAATTTTTATTTTTATTATTTTATGAATTCAACATGATTGCAAGTACAAATTTTATTCGGTTCGATTTTTTTGGTATTGCAGTCCTTTTGCCGAATATTTGTATTCTTTTAATTCTGATACATTTTTAAAGATCTTCTTATTTATTTGTATTTAACACTTTGTTAATGTTTATTGCACTAATGCAAATTGTTAATTCAAATTAAAAAAAATTTTTTTTTATAGTTTGTATTCTTTTGATTATACAGTCACTTTTATATCCAGTCACTTTAATATGTCGTTTACATTCATTTTGAAATTAATTTTATTTTATGACAACAAAACAATCAAAAGTTTTACTTATATATTCAATTATATCAACTTCATCATTTTTATTTATTTGATCATTTTGTTAATTTTTTTTCGGTATTTTTGACGCACATGTCAATAATTAACTTTTTTCACAACACTTTTTACAGTCAACATTAACTCCACGGTTTATATAGTCCTGCATCACATAATATATAACTATATAAATTTGATATAACATAAATGACTTTATAATTTTTATTTAAATACTTTTTGTAAACCTTTATTGGCTATTTTCGACAATTTTATATTTTACCAACTTCTATATATATTTTTTTTTATAATTGGCAAACTCTTGTACTTCATTTTTTCATATTCACATTTATATTATTTTAAATTTAACAACTAAAACAGTCATATTTTTCAGTCATATTCATACAAACCCAGTTCCTTCGTATAAGAAATCTTACATGTTTATATTTATTTTCTCTAAATAAATAAATTTAATGATATAGATTAGTTATTTTTAGTATGAAAACACATTTAATTTACTATTTTTAACTCCTGTCGATGTAAATGTGTCATTTAACATCAAAGTTACTTAGCTCTGTTCCAACACATGTGTGAAATTGTGAAATATTTACGGTTGTGATTTGTCGCATTTTGAACACATTTGATAATAAATATTTCTTAACAATTTTGAATAAACGTTTTTGAGATTTTTAAATAATCGTCTGAATCTATACACGATAAATGAAATAAATTAGTTTAAAATAAATAAATCTGTTAGTCGCTTATTATTTAATCCTCAGATCGTTTTTAATAATCGTTTATATAAGTTAGTTATATTAGGGTTATGGATTTAATTAACAATTATCAATATTATTTGATAAATGACTAATGCATGTTATAAATATATTCGCTTTTAAATTTAAATAATTATTCTAAATGACAAATATTTTTTAAATATAAATTTACTAGGCGTAAGTGGCATCTTGCCTTAAAAAGCGCGGTTAAACTACTATTAAAATTAACAATTGTCAATATTATTTAATAAATTACTTATATGTTATAAATATTTTTGCTTTTAAATTTAAATAATTTTCTAATTGAGATATATATTTTTAAAGATAAATTTAACTAGGCGTAAGTGGCATCTTGTGCTAAAACGCGTGGCCAAACTTTATTGAATTTTTGTAATTTAAATATTTTTCATTTTTACTATAATATTTTAGAATGCTTGTTTAGGCCATGAACTCTATCAGCATGCTAATATTCACTTATAAAGAAACAGCTCGACCGATCTTTGCTAAGAACTAATCAGTACCATTCCCAACTGATATATTTTTGAACTTGTATTTCATATTTTATGAATTTATTCAATTTCGGTCTCAAACGATTCAGAATGGATTAAATCGAAAAAACACAAAATTTAGCAATCATTATTTTACCTAGGACTATAATATTTTAGGGTGTTCGTTTAGGACATGAACTCCATCGACACGCTGTATTTAATTAAAAATGCCAAAAATAAATAATATTAAATTATGAAAAAGATGCCCGGCCGATCTTTGCTAAGATCTAGTCAGTACCAATCCCAACTGATATATTTCGAACTTGAAATTTCATATTTTATATATTTTCAAAATCCGCTCAGAATTTTTAGAAAAACGTGGACAATAAATTTTGCACTATTCTAGTAATTGTAAAGAAACGGCTTGACCGATTGCCGCACAAAATTGATCAACGCGAGTTCTTATTGAGTTACATCGAATGGCTTGTTCAAAATGTCCATAATTTCTTTCAGTTTTGGTCTCAAACGATTCAGAATGGCTTAAATCGAAAAAACACAAAATTAGCAAGTCGTATTTTTTGGAAAAAATGAACTTCGGGAAATCAATAATTTTATAAAATCGTGTATTTTACTAAAGAAATGACAATTTTATAATAATGGGTAGTATTGCCTTAGGACTCCAACAACTCCAACTCAACCTTGGAAAAATAGTGTGGGTTTTCTCATTGTCATTTCACACCGCAGTGCCCGAAAAGAGCTATTTTCAATTGGAAACATATTTTTGATTTATATTTTCAAGTAAAAATGGTTATTTCGTTTGAAAACTTGATCAGTTTAAGGATATGTTTCATTTTGAAAGTCTTTTTATCCTCACTTTTTGTATTATTTAATATCCATCTGTTTATTGTGAAAAGGTGTCTTGCTTCATTTGTCAATAAAATGATGCAAGTAAATATTTTTGGAGAATAAAAAAAATATTTTGGGAGAATAAAAAATTGGGGGTAACAAAATTCTAATACGTACGTTTGAAGACACGAGCACGAGGTCTTGTATTTACTTCGTATTTTATGTATTTCTAACTTGATTTTAATTTACTGATTATTTTGCAACGTGCACTTCTTTATTAATCAGTTATAAATATTTTTTTAAACATTAAAGCAGTTTAAAAAAATGAAGTCGGTCAACGGTCTGGGTCGTTCTGCAATCAACCGTTAAGCTGGCTTATTTATTGTAATCGTCTGTTTAAATTATAATTCTATAAATGTATATATATATATATATATATATATATATATATATAATATAATACAGAAAAGTTAAACTTCAACGTACTTAGTTTTCTCTCTGCTAAATTTTTTATTATTTTGCTTTGCAACTTGAAAAGTAGAATGTTATTCTACCAAATATGTGTGTATTATTCTAAGAAATAATAATATATAAACTTATGAAATAAAGCACGTGTCTTTAGGTATAAATATCACGCGCTTTTGCTTTGTAAATAAACTAATTATGATTTTCTTTCATTAAGCAAAATAATTAGAAATCCTTAAATTCAATTGGTTGCACTTGTGTGGTACTTTATTCTTAGAATACAATATTATTTCAATAATAATATTATAAAGATTAATATTATTTTCATGTATAAAATTTTTTTTATTCAATATTTAATAATTTTTTTTTTCATAAAGTCAAAATTTAAATCAAATTTTTCTATTTAATTTTTGATAATAAGAAATCAATGCATTGCAATGCAATTGATGCAATTTAAATGTTAAAAAAATTCAATTTCTGTTTTTATATTTTTCAAATTTTTATCACGCTGTATTACGTTTTTGGAAAATCGCAAGCAGTTTATTTAATTTCAATAATATATAATTACTCTTTTTTAATTTATTGGTTAACATTAAATATGCCTTAATTTAATGCGTGTTGCTTTACCCATAATTTTTAATAATAAATTTCTTATTTTTATAATAACGATATTGATGTAAAAAATATAGTAAATCGCACTTTGATGTTAAATATTCATTAACTAAATTATGGATTTAATTTGAAAACTATTAATTTACGATTTTTTTTTAATTTATTTGTTAACCAGAGCATCCTGTAATTTTTACCGAGCACGTGTTTTCTCTGAATCGATATGTAGAAAAATAAAAATATTTAAAACAGAAACAAAATTCAAACATAAATTTAATTCAAATAAAACAATAAGAGAGATAGAAAATTCTTTATAAATTGAACGTTTCGACACTTGATGTGTGCTATCAAGCTATTCAATAATCAACCAGAAAACAAACAAAACTTAAAACACTTGAATTAGGTTTAAAATTTCATGAGAAACGTCAACACATAGCTAAAAATTTGTTTTAAATAAATAAAAACACCAGAGGGCATTATATATCCTATCGATATCTTAGATGGATACGAATTAATATTAACTTTAAATTAATATTGTTTTTAATTTTTACTTAGATTTTAAAATCAGTTATAATTATTATCTCTATTATCTTTAATATGAAAAATATTCAAAATGCCTAAATATTGTATGTAAATTCAAATTTATATTAAAGTATTTTTTAATTCATAGTGCACGTGTGTTATTTATTTATTTATTTATTTATTAATTAATTTATTTGTTTATTATTCAACGGAGTTAATTAAACTTATATTGAAGTTTTAGATAAAAAAATATTTTATTATAGATTAGATCCTAATAAATTAATATTTAAAAGTTTACTCAAATTTTTGGGGTAATAATTACACTTATCTCCCGTTTTACGCAGTACTTGTTTTACACGT